ACCATGCACTGCAACTGAGATATCCTATCTCAAAGGAAAATAAAATATTCTAATGTCCTGTATGAGTTCTTTCCTTTAAATCTTCATGTTAAACAGGATAAAATAATCAGACCCTTGAAGTGCAGTTCTCCAGACACGCAGGAAGACAATATTCATTTCTACCTTGAATTATTATTAATACCAAACATCTTTCAGCTCTTTAAACTAACATGAAATATTCTAATAATGTAAATACAAACAAAAACTCCAAGGAGAATGTTTACACCCAAATATGACACTAGTAGTGCTTTTGGGTCCTAATCTTAGCAACATTTCTCTTTCTACTCTATCTGCAGTCACAGCTTCAAGAATCGGAGCGATGAAACACCTTTTCTTATAAGTACCAAATAATAAGAATAACATCTCATTTTCAGTAATAGCAGTCTGATGAGCAACATCTAGTCTTGTTATTGCTATTCATATTGGCTGTTACATGCTCTTCACTGCATATACGAGTATATTATAAGAACACATTGTTTGCTGAAAATCAAAGTTCTTCACAATAATTTCAGCTGGTGGATTCCTTGCCGTGTCTCCTTTCTATTCATGATAGAATGAAATACTAAACCTGTTAACAATGAAAAAACCTTTAATATCTCCATATAATTTTCACTCCTGACAGAACAAGAAACCCTTATTAAGGTCTGTACATGGCATAAACATGCCCCTACATTTCAGGGAATGAGACTGCGCTAAAACTGGTTTACAAATCCAATTTACTCCAGTACTTCTTAAAAAACTGAGCAGGATAACCAAACCATAAAACATTTTTAAAATCAGTTTCTTCACTTGATCTATAAACAATCTTCCATTTCCCAAGGAATATCCAATGTTTTCTTATTATGAAATTCTAACAAAGAGTGAGTTAAAATCTCAGTGCAAATCACTGCTTAAGGGTAGATCAATCCCAGCTTGTAGGAAAAGATTTATCTTAAAAGCATGGAAACATTAGAATGCTGGGTCTCATGTTTCACTTCAGTAAGACTACTGATAGTCTTTTCTTTCTGGTCTAGAGACACAAGCAGCCCAAAAACTAATCCTATTAGAAGATTTCAAATAATACACAGTTCAAATTACTTTTTCCACATCTGAAGTCCATAGACAAGAAATTTTATCTAAGAAAAATAAAACAACTTACACTGCATTCATCTTTTCTTCCTCTAATTTATAATATAAGATGCACAGCACCCCAGTTGCACATATGTCTAGCAGACACTTAAAGAAGCAGTACAAAAGTCAAGTATAAAGCCTACTTTCCTTTGATTTATCCTACCAGGCTCTCACAATTGATTTAAAGACTGTTTGAGCTGGAAGTTGTTTCTGGACCATTATGGTTTATGGGGATGCATATATGCTGGGGAGTTTTTGCAAGCTTTTTTAAGTAAGTGCCATGATTTAATTAGGTGGAGGTTGCTTTGTGATGTCACAGAATTTTTTTATACTCAGATATGGGTAATGTTTTTCTACTATACAAAATGGAATCTCATTATACAGAAGTGGAATTCCTCAGTGGAATTACATTTATTTTTTAGATGACATTCAGTTGACTAATTTTGTTGTTATTACAATTGTGAGTTATTACACTTGTGAATTATTGAAATCCAAGTTCTGAAAAAGGAAATAAAATCAAAACATAAAAGTCAACCTATCTCATTGGAATAAGTGACATCAGCTCGCACATCTATCCTGTTTTTCCACAAGACCTGTCAAACTATGGATCTGTTTTACCTTGGACCCTGTGGAGGCCGATACAAGTATCCAGTGATAAATTTACAGAGAAGATTAGACAGTAGACATTCTTATGCAATATTGAGTGTCTCTATGGCATAACACAATTCTGGTGACTATTTGGGAGAAATTAGTGCATATCTGTCTTACCTCTATTCCCCATATATGTTTTTTTGCACAGGAGATATTCCTTTACCACTCTGATTTTTTAAATTTATTTCTAGTCTTTAAGAATGCATATAAAGCATTGCTAGCTAAAAGTGATATTGTTATAGGAGGTAAATTTTCTTCGTAGTAACAGGCAAAATATTTCTTTTCTTTTTCCTTTTTAATACTTCCACAAAGACTTTATATGGAATCATGCAGCTTTCCCTGGGCTTGGTCCTAGTTTTCCCATGTACAATTTGAAACCTTTGGCCAAGAATATATGACCTGCAGAGAACAAGATACATGCAGGATTTAAATATAACTGACTCTCACAAACTTTATATACATCTGTGTTTTCAGTGAACTGCTCTTCTAAGAAAAACAAAAAGATATTAGAGACAAAGTTTCAAGCTTTTAAGGAAGCAGTTAACTGAATACAAAATGCTTTCTGTTCTAAAAAATATCCCCCAATAAATATCCATAATTTGAGTAACCTGTTGACACAGATAACACATTTTCACATTGTCTTCAAATGCAAGACATATGCAATGTTTTCTTCTGAAGCTTCCACGACACAAAAACTGAAGGACGTGGGCTAATTCCATGCATAGGAAGATTTACAACAAACCTAGTCAGTTCTGCACTTGCAGGAACGTGTTTGGGTTAAGATCCATGCTTCTGTCCTTCATTCTCCTTCATCGCATCACAGTGTGCTCAAGTCTCCTTATCTGCAGTTGTGAGGGCCCCTGGGCATTCCCGGTTGAGGTCCTGGGAAGCATGGATTTCCAGGTGGATAGCCTGGCACTCCATACCTTCTTGGCCCTGGGGGCCTTGTCACAGCTATCGATGGGGGAGGAAGGTTTCCTGCTTGGCTCTGTGGGGGATAGTGGCTGCCTGGTGCAGAGCCAGGATGCTGGAGTGCCTGAGCGGAGTTGGCTTCTTGTGGCTGTCCTGTCTTCTTGGAGTTGTTGCCATCCTGTCCTTTCTTGTTGTCTGAAATATGTTTGGAGGACAGAATTAACAAAAGAGCTTGCAAGTCAGAAATTCCCTGACAGGGAAATCCTGCAGCTGCCTGACCACCCCAGAGTGCAGTAGAAAGTGTGGACCTCCCCTGTCAAAACCTGGGGTAATACATCTTCGTGATCTTTGTGCTGTATTTTCCATTCAGTTATTTCAGTTAATTCTGTGAGAAACTGAAATGGTTAATGGCTTAAACACTATTAAAAGCATTGAAGTATTTGTCCACTGTAGCAAACCATAAAAAGAACCAACTGCTGATCTGTGACTAGGAGCCCACCTACCCAATATGCCTCCTAACTGGAGGACTTGAGCTAAGATAAAGGTGATATTGTTGTCCAGTTATGCCAGGTCTAAGGAGAGGTGAACAAGGCTGGGAGGAGAAGGATGTATTCACAAGGAAAGCCAAACTCAGCTGAAGCTGGCTTTCAACTCAGCTCAGCTGAGAAATCAGCTCTGGTTTGCTTTGGCAGAGGGAGGCCATAGGCCACAAACTCATTTGTTGAGGCAAGGTTTGCAGACTCTTCCTCTCCTGTGAGAGAGTGGACTGTCAACGGTTAATGACTCAAATGGTTCAAATGGTTAACAACTCTCCCACTGGTGAAGGCACCAGGTTGCTTTGCTGAGGCCAGGTGCACATGCCCCAGGGGAGGCTATAAGTGGGATAAGAAGTAGACTCTGCAGAGAGGGGATGATGCTTTTTATCGGTCATTTTCCCTCCATTACACAACTGGAAAACATCCCCCTCTGCCCAGTGAAGGTCTGATGGGGCATAACTGGCTCAACTGAGAGGCAGCTGTCGTGTCTTAGAAGGTGTTATAAACCATCAAAGACCCCCAAAGTGCTCCCCAGAGCCATTCCTGAGGCATTCCACCGAAGGACTGTATGTGACACAGAAGTGTTGCAATAAATCCCAAGTCTGTTCCAAGAGACAGAGTAAAACTTCCACCCCCCTCCCCAGGGGAGGTGTTTGGGCATTCTCACCTAGCCTGAATGTATATTAATCCATTGAACTCTATGTTTCATGAGACACTTAACACTAAGAAGACCAGAGGAAGAGGATCAATGGGACACCACTGGTACCCACATGGTGGCAATACTTTCTGCCTAATCTGTCTCACTGTCACTCTCCTTCTGTTTCCCCCTTTCCTATTTCTTTTTATATCTCCTTAGCTCACATTTACTATTATAATAAAATCCACACTATTTCAGCATAAATCGTGTTTGTACCTTAATTCAGGCAGAGTTATCCCTCTAATAACTTTAATAATCAGATCATACAGGACCCCACAGGGAAAAGTGGAGATTTTTCCCAAGATGCACTTAAATATCATCTGTCAATGGTGATAAAGGCAGTAATTAGACATGGCTCTTCCAAAGACAGTCATCTCTAACCTAGGTTTTCCTCCTTGGCTTGAGCCAGTTTAGCAGCTGTGCGGCATGCATGTATGATGAAGAAAAGGAAACAGACAGCAAAATCCCTTAGGACAGACTGAAACCTGCCTGCCCAAGCTAAGTTTTCTGTTAAGGATTGCTACCATACTGTGTTCTGGCTACACCTTCTCCAGGTGAACCTGGCACAGAGGACCAAACTATCCTGAGTATTTCTGGGTCAACAAAATACAACAGAAGGGTACAAGATTTAGACTTCAAATGATTTGCGGTAGATACGAGGCATCACTGACGTTCAGACCATTCTTCAAGTGGTTTTTTTCAGTGGGACTGGGACCTTCCATTCAGTATAGTTCAGCTTTTTACTTTGGTGCTGCCTGGTGTGGAATAATGTTACGAGATTTCTTAAACAAGCCAAAGAAAGAAAAGAGAGAGATTAGGCTAAGATTACTTGTTATTCAGTATCGTGAAGATATTTCAGGAGTTTAAGGCAAAGGGAGCAGTCAAAGCAGCGAGGAAGACTAGGATCACACATGCATGAATTCCTCATACTTAGACATTCAAACCAGTCCTTACCTTGGTTTGGAGTGGATTCATCTTTCTTGCCTTCTTTAGGCTTTGGCGGTTCTGTCTCAAAAGGATTTTCTTCTTGTTCATTTGATTTTTGTGCCCTTTGTTTATTTCTTCTTTTATTTTCTTCTGCTTGCTAATGATGGGGAGAGAAAAGGCATCTTTCAGTAATCCAAACGGCTTCTCTAATATTTAGTAAAACCAAAAAATCAATAATTCTCTATTCCTTACACTTTGTAACTTCTTTTTAAGTTCCAGGTTAGCTTCCTTGTAAGATTTGGATGTCGCGTTGAGATAATAAATACTCAGGCTAAATTTAAAGAAAAATAGTTTCTTGTTAGACAAGGATTTAAATAGAAAGACTCAGAACATTCCTACATACAGTTGTGATAATATAAAGTCTATATCTTTATGTATCGTGCCTAATAAGTACTAGTATTTTGACAATGAAAAATGAATTATGTGTTTCCTTACAGTATGAAGGCACTGTTTTTTGAGGTGAAAAAATAAAAGAAATTATCCTCTCTATTAATACTCTACCTTCAACCTTACAGTGGGTAAGGATATTCCATAAAGCAGTGCTTCACTGTGAAGTATCTCTTGAAGAATAACTTATAAAAGTTAATTAATTTTTATGATATACTTTAAAAATTACTGTTAAATTAATACAGTAGGCAATCTGAAATACTGTGGTGAAAAAAAGCATAGTTTTTTATTTTTGCTTTTAATTATAACCTCTTTGTTCTAGTAAACAAAAACAATACTGCATAACATAATGCAATTTTCATTTGTTAGTGTATGGAATTACTGTTGTGATAACTAGAGAATTAATAGTTTTCACCATCCTGATTTAATTAGAAATTAATCTGATATGCAGCCTTTTGTTGACATAATCAGTACATAATTAATTATATATATATTATATTATATATATATATAAATATATATATATATTTATATATAAGTATATATATTTATATTATATACATAAATAATGATATATTAAATATCATATTATAAAGATAATATGAATATATGGTATATATGGATATATAACATTTACGTTTTTATATAATAGATAGTATGTTTATTTTATAGTTATATTTTCTATGTATATAATTAAATAATAATAATGATGATGACGCATATGCTGTTTCCTCTGCTTTGCCTGATTTTGCCTTGTATTTTTCCTATGTTTTTTTTTCCTCTCTATTTATTTTTGGTGTCTTTGCCCTTTATAGCTAAGGTTTAAAATAGAATATGGTGTTAAGTGAACGTTGGCAAAATTTCATCTCGTAATTTCGTTTTGCTCATGCAAAATCCTTCTGCGAATTTTCTTGTGTGTTCTTGTTTCTACTGAACTTACTAAGGATATATGATGCGCTATTCTGTGTACAGGACTAGCTGATCTATGCTACAACACTTCAGAGCCCCTACAGCCTTTTCATATTTTAATAGTTTTGTCATTATTGTGGCAGCAACATTTTTAAAAAGAATAACAAAACCAAAAAGAAAGCTATTAAACAAAAAAGAGATATCAAGGTTTCTGCAAATGGACATTAGGAATGATCAAATAAAACACTCACAAATTCTTCAAGTCCTGACCTCTGGACAATCAGTACTGTACTTAATTAGATATTCAGGCAGTGAAGATTCAGAGTGAGAGAAACTTAACAGGCCTTATAGTTAATATTCTATACATACACCATCAGCAGTATAAAGGGTAGGATGAGTCCAGGGTTAGAGGCATAGCCAAATACTTTCCCAAACCAGGAAGGGAAGTCATGCTCCAGAGTTTCTGAGATGACTTCAAACATTCTAGTCTTCCCACTATTAAACAGAGAAGTTGACAATATGTCACATACTAATATTATGGCAACTATGAATATTTATGCTAATCACATCACATCGAACTTGGGAAACAGACAATAAACTGTATGTTAACATTATTTAAAATTTTGCACTCTGGAAGGAATAATATATTAAGTAATATTTATGTATTCTAGAGGGAAAATAGACACCAAAATTCTTATTGTATGCTAATAGTTTTCACCTACAGTTGCCACCAGGATTACTCCTCAAAGAATCAGTGCACTGAGTTGTGAACTCCTTACCACCAGCCAATGAATGAAGTGAAATTTGTGCTCTGTGAAGACATGGGGGAAAAAAAAAACAAACCCAAAGAGTCACAAATTTCAAAATAGATGAGACACTGAGCTACCAGCAGGAAAATGTTTTCCTTTTTAAATGCAGAGCCATGTCTTAGCAGTATTTGTCCACTGGTTGCTCAACTTTGGCATTACCCATACATAGTTTGAATGAAACTTCACTACTTTGAAGTGCTCCTCATTAACAGTTACATTGAAGGTTTCACATTTTTTATGAAGAAAAGCTTATCTCTCATATGACAAAGTGGCAAGCATCATCTTTCTCAATTTGACAAGTAATCTTACCATTTCATTAATATCTTTTTGAATAACTGCTTCTACTCAGATCTGACTCAGATGTCTCCCTTTGTATTTTTTTGCTATGACTCAAATAAAATATCTTAATTTGTATCTTTTGCTCTGTTATAATTTCTTCTGTAAATTTAAACGATTTTCTGTTCTCTCATAATTTTTGTCATGTCATGCAGTTCTCCCTTTTAGGTACCTGCGGCTGTTGCAGGTGCCTAGAAACAATCTCATTTTGCCTTTGGCCAAAGTGAATGTGTTGAGACTTCTGCTCCTTTACAAAGTGCACTGGAAATCATGCAGATGTCATTTTACTTTACTTACAACAGTAATGTATTATCTAAACCGTTATTGCAAACAGAATATCTCTTTTACTATTCCTCTACTGTTGCTTTGTTAATGTTTTGTTTAAAACCAAAGACTAAAGACTTTTAAAATTTTTAATTTCATATCCTGGCTGTTGTTGTGTAATCATTATATAGTATTTCATGCTACCTGGCAGGTAAAGATGATGAAAATGGTCTCAGGCAGTGTGCATAGCAGGAGAAAGTGTGGCAAAATCTAAACTAACTTGAATGCAAGGCATATGTTTGCATAGGGAAGGTGTGGTAGCTTTAATCTAGGCCTTCCTTGGTGACCAGTTTGTAACCAAGGAAGGGGCAGTATTCCCAGTATTCCATGTGATTTTTACATAAATCGAGGTATAAATAAAAAAGGGCTGAGAGGCCATTGCTCTCCTCTCTTCCAGCGAGGTTCGGGAACAGTGGGTCCCTACATTAGTCTCGCTTATCTAAGGCTGAGGCCTGCAGCATCTGCTGGCCTGCCAAGTGAGGGATTGGAGAGTGTTGGCTGTGTCTACCAATCCTGCTTTTCTAAGGGATGTGGTGAAATTTGTTTTACTAATTATTTTGTTAGTTCTCGGGTTTGATTGCGCATATCTATTCGGTGTCCTTTTTTGTCCCCTTTTGTTCCTTTTTCCCCTTTCCCTATCCCTTTGGGGAGTGTTTGGATTCCCTTTTGCTGTGTACATAGCATCTTAACTGTATATAACTGTAATACACATAAAATATGTATTTTTTATATAACTAGCTTGATTTTTGAGTTCTTCAATTTGCGTAGTTTTTTTCCTTTGCCCTGGGGGAAGAAGGGAGGGGGAAGGGGGGGCTACTCCTGTTGGTTTGGACATTTGGCAGGGAGCCAAGTCCGAACCATCACAGCAGGGCAAGCCAAAGTGTATAGAAGGAACTAATGAATATGGAGATCTTGAAGACTTCAGAAACAAATTCAGCTTGACAGTGGTAATACAGACACATGAAATTCTGATTTGGAGAGAGTCAGGACAGTCAAAGACTGAAATCCCAATACCTTTAGCACACCATCATACATTCTGATATGCCCTTCCTACATGACACAGATGTTTCCTAAAACCCATCTCTTTTAAGCCAACAGACTGATATTCACAGCAGGTCATTGCTCTACTCCTTAAGAATAGTTTGTCTTTAGTGCAGCAGTATTGATAATTTTTACATTAAAATTAATTAAAAGAAAGGATCTTCTGTTCTACACCTCAGATAAAACTTTTTAAGGAATTACTCATTTTTCCAGGATTTCAGCTTTAAAATTATAACACTTAGGCAATCAGGTGCTAATGCTTATTATGGAAGCACTTCTTTACTGCATTCACTGTAATGTTACAAAGCAGTTCGCTACAGCAAGTACAAAAAATGGTTGTAAAATGCAAAGAACCTGAAAGGACCACAGTCAAAAGATGGTGGGATGGAGACAACGGTGTATACAACAGGCAGTGTGGAGAGAAAGAGGATGAAAAGCAGCATGGCCATGTAGAAGTTATTGGATCTGGAAGCTTTGAAGACCCTCTCTTGGGGGACATTGCAGCACATCACCGCCCAGCACTGCAGGTACATCGATGTATGGAGGCGAAACACATTGATTGCTGGGAGACATGGAGCATAAAAAGATCCCATCCTAGAAAAGAAACAAATAAAAAAATAAACACATTGTTACAGGACTTCTGTCTTCCGAGATATGCCACCCATTCACTACGTCGATGTGCTTTGTAGCAATACAAACTGTGCAGTAAGAAATTCATAAAATCATCTATCTGGGGTTTTGTTACTGGTCTTTGCTCTTTATTTAAGAACTGGAGAGAAATCTCTATATGAACCTTTTGTTTCAAAGTTTTAAAGTCCTCTTTCTCTGCAAATTAAATGATCACTTGATGAAAAATCATTTACTCTTAATTTGTCCAGTAGTATCTTGCTTGTTTTGTGTAAAAACTAAATATTGCCAACCCTGACAGCTAGGAATAAACAAAATAATTAAGTTTAGTATTTTTTTAATACACTAACACAATTTTAGGAAGGATATTTTTAGTTAGTTTAACTTTACTTACTCTAACTTTATTTTAACTTCTGTTGTCATGATCATTTAGCCCTTCAGGCCAACAATATGTTTATAGATTCTGCTAAACATTGTTTCTTTCCCTATTACATGTGGTTGCATGGTTATGACACTGACACAGTTGGCACCATTTTAGTTTTATCACACCTTGTTTCTTGTGTCATGCTGACTGAAGAGCAGTTACATTCATTAGCTTGACCCTTTCTTCTATTCTGTTTGAGATGCGAAGAAGCATGCAAAATACAAATTTGACAAGCTCAAATAAAAGAGAAGCTAATTTATCTTACACGTGTATTAATTATAAATACGTTTTGGGCAATGTGTGCTTATTATAATTCAGCCAACCTTTTTTAACTCATCTGATATGTTTGATTCAGTTTAAATTATCAGATAATATTTTGAAAAACAACACAGCTCTAGTGCCTTAGCCCTGTAAACATGAATTAGCATGAAAACGTCATCCCAGCTCTGCAATAAGCAGTAAAATAGCATCACAAAAGCACAAGTCACACTTTATGTGTCAGACAGTATATATTGGAGCATGGCAGCTTAGAAGTGCATGCAGAGTCTGTACATGTAATGAAGTATAAAAATAATAGACATGTATAGAAGTTTCGTTAGGGAATAATCAGGAATCAATTTCCTCACCCAGTCTCCAGCATCTGTCTGGTAGACAATGGTTTTCAGCCTATATTCCAAAGTGTTTATTATAATAGCCAAAAGTATTAGCGACATCAATTGGCAAGTATCAAATGGAAAATAGAGTTTATGCTGCAGTCTCATCTTTTTGATAACTAGCAGCGTGCGAATCGTTTCCTACCAGAAACTGGAATGGCAGTTCCAAGGCAGATAACAAGATGCCAGTTGCAAAGCTGAGCTGCTTTTGTGAGATGCAGGACACAATGTGAATGCCTCAGATGCTAACAACAGCTATTTACAATGTGCCACTGCAAGGCCAGGGGTGGTGCCATGCTCAACCCCAATGATAAATCCTCAAATCCTCCATGTGAACAAGCCCACAGCATCACTGTCAGGCTCCCAGTGCGACCTTGCAGCGGCGTTTGGTTGCAGGGACTGCAAGATATTTGCAGCTCTTGTCTGTATTTCTGTGGCATTCTAAGATTCTGCAGCAGTAGCATCGTTTGCACATTCACATGCCGGCACAGTTAAGTGTAACTACATTTGTTTTAAGGCCTTTCTCCACAGGAAACGTGAAAAGAGTGGTAAGGTATGTTGAAAGGCTGAAATTCAAAGCAGAATAGTACAGCAAGCAGTCAGACAACAAAAGTATAAGATTAATCTATGCAGCTTTTTACTGGTTGGTTTTACCAATTCAGTGCAAAATCCTGAAGCGTCTGGTCCCACAGTCTTAGCCCAGAACTAGTTTTGAAGTGTTCTCACTGATTGCAGTGTACCAGAGTTCAGTGCATATTTCATTATACTTCCATCAAACTAAAGAAATGGGATACGAGCAGGATTTCAGAAGGATCCTCCACAGAAACAGCCAAATCCTGCCATCCTGCAGATGCAACATGCATTGTCACACCTACCATATCATGCCTTGGTTAAAGATCAGTCCCAGCACATTTCCACTTATATCAAACTCAGAATATGATGGCTGAAAGAAATGATACAGGAGTTTTCATTAGGTTTGCAGAAGGGTTTTTAAGATGACTTACACAAGATTAAAACTCTCAATTCCAACATCAGCAGTACACTGGCATCATTTTACAAGGCTTCTTGTTGCACCTTATTAGTGAATCACAAAATAAATGTTATAACTCGAGGTCAGAAGGCAGTCTTTTATGTAGTTTGCAGTATTTTACTGAAAATCTTTCTGGTATTTGTTCAGAGGAAAGTGTTAAGAGAGAATTAAAAAATATTCTGGTTACTGGGTAAATTTTAAAGAAACAACTCAGAAATTTTCCACTGGAGTGGTTTAATATGAATATCTTATCTATAAATTGAGGGTGTTTGATTTTAATTTTTACTTTAAGATTCAGCCATGGAGTCTTGTTATTGATTTGTCTGTTGAAGAAAGTCCTGTATCATATATTTTTATTTCCAGTGTAGACACATGCCACAAAAATTATTTAGTCTTATATTTCTGAACTGAATCCAAAAAATCCAGTAAAAGAACTCTCCAGAAGCTTTGAGTCTTTTGAGCAGCAAAGATATTTATTTGTTGACTTCGGGTGCAAGTGTGGTTTGCACCACAAAGAACTTGCTCAAAATGGCACACAAAAATAAGAGTTTTTATACAATTCTTCCTACATGATTCTTTACATATGCATATGATTGCATCATCTATCTATACATACTAATAGTAGGTGGAGTACAGGCGGAGTTCAGGTGGAGCTTAGGGCAGTGCTTTACATGGCCCTCAATTTTGGTGGTACATCCACTTCTTCGGCCTCTGAGTCTGGGGGCGCCCAGAAGCCTTCCTCGATTTGACCTTCCTAACTTTCCATTGTCTTTGCCCCAGTCACTGAAGTGTGGAGAGCGCCTTGGCTTTAGGCCTATTTCTCCTATGCAAATGTCTACCTTAGCTTACTTTACCCTAATTTATGACCCCTAGGTCCACTGAATAACGTTTCTAGCATTCATCTTAAGGTTAGGTCAAATGAACAAAACAGAACAAATTTTTCTTTAGCAACATAGACAGAGCAGGTATGGGGGGCCTTCTCTCTGCCGAGTAAGACATTCCAGTTAACTCTTAGGTCTTACTCTCATTTCAGTGCTCTTCATTTGACCCCTTCATTCTGTTTTTCCAAAGCTTTCATCATTTCTACATCTGTTCTTTTGCCCTAATTATTAATTTCTTATTGATGAACATTTCCATTTGCAAACTTTGAATACACTGAATTTAAGAAACAATTGAAATGCATCCATACACATTAGTATGTGTGCATATGCACCAGAACAAAACTTTCTGGTAAGAAATTGTGGCTGTAAACTTTTTTGTTTGCACCTAAATGTGTGTTTCAAACATATTGTTTATATGATTTACATCACAAGATCTTGTTCACTCACCTTTCTCATAAAAGAGTATTGCTACATCACAGCTGGTGACTTGCATGAATCACCATACTGCTGGACAAAAAGACCATAATGTCTGACTGCCAGATACCAATTATTCTGATGACTGATAGAAGGAGTAAAGAGTATGAAATGCAAAACTAACCATTCCCTTACGGCTGAAAAACAAAGTTATTCCATTGAAATCATCAATTAAAGCCATAATTTTGACTTAAACTACGTTATGTTGTGGGAACATTTGAAGTCCCTACAGGTTTTCTGTGTAGTTTTGTGTATGTATACACATATATATGCATATATTTACAGTTATCTGCTATACTTATGTTGTGTGTATTTATGAATCTGCTTCCATACAAGTAAGAGTTCAATATTCAACTTGAAAAGCAGTTGACTAATAAGATCTATATAGGATATAATATCAAAAACAACATGCAGAGAATTAATAGTATCACACAGAATCAAATAATGTATGATTGCTCGTCATAACATAACATAGGGCCTAGAAAATAACTGGAAATCTAATTTTTAAACAAATAAAAGGAAGTAGCTTTCCCACACAATGTATAAGTTAATTTCTGGAATTCTTCTGCAAAGGATATCTTGATTGTCAAAAATATTTGGGATATAGAAAAAGTCTAAAAATTAGTGGATTCATAACCACTAGCCAGAGAAACACAGATATAGCTAGTTTCTAAGAAGCCTTTTAAGATCAGATATTTACAGAAATTCAGTGATTTCCAGTTTCAACTTCTACTTTGGGCTGTTGTTTCAAGCACTTTACTGGTTGCCAATTAAAAATGACAATTATAAGCTGGTTCCAGGATCCCCTATGAGCAGATGCATTGTTGGCAATTTGTCTCTCCATGCTGTATTCTAACTCCTCCATTTGATTTTGATGTCACAAGCAGGTTATAATTTGTATGTGCACAACCTGGCTGGCTGGTAGTCTTCGTCTCCAGCCCTATACCAGTACTATTTGAGACACAATGTAAAACCTTTAAATAATGCTGAAATTTTGTTGGATCCAGTGAATAACAATGTGATTGCAGTATCAGATATCTGAGTTTTTTAGTAGAAAATACCAAAACTTTCTCTTCCTCTGGAAAATTAACATTTCCCAAGGTGCAGTTTTTAATAAAGCAAGAAATTTCTATGTGTAGGAAGGCAAAATTTGGAGGGAAGAAGGGCATAATTATGGCAGAACAGCTACAATGACTGTTCATGCAGAGGTACCTATGATAGTCTTAAATTACTTAACTCTTCTCTGTTCTAAAGCTGTTACAATACTAAAAATACTATTTAAGAGATGAAAAGCAGTATTAAATCTTACAGCAGTAATTAAATCCTTATCTTAGAAGGAAAATTTAGCCTAGATCAGGTCAGAGTAAAAGAGTGAAAGTCTCAAATCCCAAGTGAAGAGTTCTATACCTTCTTATGTTACTAACTTTACTGAGTTAACAATCTTAAGCTAAATTAATTCTATTAAAAATATGTATTTAATAAGATTTCCTGAACAGGATCTTTCCTATTTTTCCCAACAAGTACTGTGTGTTAGAAGCCACTATCCAAACTCCTGTAGAAATCAAGGTGATTGTATTCTGTGGAAGAGAGAATGAGTCTTCAAACTGTAAACGTGGGGAAAATATGTACTCAATGTTCTTACACAATCAAATTTTAAAACTCCTTAAGTTACCGGAATCTAAATAATAAGACAAATATTAGTGCATATACGAATTCCAAGAAAAACTAACACAGGGATTTTAAAGATAAGGTGTCTAGGCACAAATTAACTGTAGGATTGAAAGGAAAATGCAATTCATTATATAAATGTGAAGTAGTAAATAACAAAGACATTTAAAATCAGATACTTACGAATCCATACTCCAAGTCCCAGCACCAGCAGTAATTGAAAAACCTAACAAAGACAGCTCTCAAGAAATCGCCAATTAAAATTGTGATGTATGTTGTCATCGTGTCAGAGACTGTCAGGCGCACAAATTCCTGTTTAGAGCAATATTTTCTTGTAAGAATACATTTCTGCAATTAATAGTTACAATAATAATGAAATACTGGATGAGATCTGTAATTGTGGTTATCCTGCTTCAACATGGAAAAGACTCCGATCCTCCTCTACAATCACTTATTCTGTAATATGCCAAAAGAAATACTACCCCTCATTTGCTAGAGGTATCCTTTGCTCTAATTTGTGTTCATATTTTCTGACGAGACTTCGTAGATATGATTAGACAGGGAAAGACTTCCAGCCAAGGTTTTGGCTACAACAGAAATATGAGCTGATATCTTAAACTGCTTTTGGTGCCTTTGACTTTGAGAAGATTATTTTAAAAAAAAAAGTGACATCTTCTTTCTCAGGGAGTTACTGTGCCCAGTGAATATGAAGAGGAAAGAAGAAAATCAGGATGCAAATCCTCATTCCTCTACTTTTATATTGGTATGTTCCACTAAAGCCTCTTGTAATAGGCCTAATAGCCCAAAAACTACCCCAGTAGTCCAAAAAGCTATTACTCTCCCTGATCTGAAATTAAGGGGAAAGTTAGTTCAGTCATGAGCTCTTGGTGTTCACTTATTATTCAGCATGAGTGAAAGAATAGAGGGCCTGGTGATTTATTCATTAAGGAGGACAAATTGTCAGATAGATGGAGAAACAGCAAAAGTGATTCAATATTGAATTTGTTTTTGTGGATAAAGCAATTAACAGCAAAGTATGATCAAATAGAGGAAAAGAGTATGTTAGAAAATTGTTAGGAAACCACATTTTATATTGGTGGGTTCATATGAATAAATACTCAACTGAGTCAAATAAAATAATTGAGCAGATTGACCATTAAATCACTATTGTTCTTTTACATTATTTTACTTATACTAAATACAGAGACAACTTCTTAAAATCATACTGCTGTAAGAGCTGACTTACTTGTTTTTCAAAATCACTAAACAGATTTCACAAGACAAAGATGAAATCAGGAAGAAGAAGATTAGTCAAGAGAACAGCGAAAAGGAGATGGAAAAAAGAAATATTTTCAATGCTGTCAACTAACAGGAGAAAGAATTCCCTGCTAGATAGGGTTCAAAATAAAATAAAATAATTTTTTTAAAACATTTTAGTTCAAGAAGAAGTCCCACATCTGCTTCTGCTCATCTTTTCCCACCTTAGTGACACACTAGCAGAAATAAAAAGAGGTTAGATATCATATTCTGTAACTGATATATTTTCAAATATGACCTCAAAGAAGATATATTACCTGTCCCACCATTGTTTCCCAACATGGCCCTCTGGGGACATCAGCAGGGTCCACCTGTATTGGAGGAGCAGTCGAATTTTCTGGAATAGTACCATTGTACAGATTGGCTTCCCATATTGTCATGTTATACTTGACTATCTTTTCTTCTTCCAACTAAGTAAAAAAAATAAATTGGGAGGAAAAAAAAAACACAAAGAAAACCAATATGAGTTTGTTACAAACTCTCAGTGTGTTCTGTTTCAAGATTCCCATGATAGTTCAGGCATGGATGTAATTTAAGTATAGAAAGAAAAGTATGCCTTTCGTTGACATGTCTGTGACTGACTGGAGGTCCTCATTCTTGCCCAGCTACATGTTAAAAATAGTGAAGGGTAGTAAATATCTTGCCTTGAGGTTGATTTCATCCATTAAGGCAATAATGAAAGTGTAGAGATTGCCAAGAAAAAGGGCGAAGATTCGTCCCAGCTGCCATCTTAGAGCTATTCGAGGGTGGTAATTTTCCAGGGAACTGATTACATCAAACAAAGTTGGACAGAACATTCCTAAAAGTGACATAACCATGTTCACCTGTGGAGAATGGGGAGAAAAAAGTTTACAGAGAAATGTTAGAAACTAATTCTTCTGTTATTGTTGATTTGGATGACGAATCTATTACTACTTTATATTAGGGTTTTGATTTAATAAAAACCAAAATCCACTCTTAAGTATCACAAGTTGTTTTCACAAAGGAGGAAAGGCTTGAAAAGTCAGTTACAACCTTCTTTAGAGTTTTTTTTCATTTTCCATTTCACAAAAATTTCAAAAATATTCAAACTTTAATTATTCTGACTAGAACCTACAATTTAACTAAAATTCTACTATAACAGGACTTGACTAAATCTATTTCTAGTACTGGTTTACACTATCTCTTTACCACATCTTCCCTAAAGACAGACAGCTTTCCTGCAAAAATATTGCACTAAATTCAATTTATCTGAGATCTCACCCAAAATTAATTCTAGATGTCACAGAATCATAGAATCACAGGGTGTCTCAAGTTGGAAAGGACCCATAAGAATTATCAAGTCCAACTCCCTGATCTCCACAGGACTACTCAAAAGTAAACCAAATAAATAAGACTGTCATCCAGACAGCAACTGAACTCTGAAAGGCTTAGTGCCTTGACTACTTCCCAGGGGAGCCTGTTCCATTGACCCAACACCCTATCTGTGAAGAACTTTTACCTAATGTCCAGTCTGAATTTCCTCTGATGCACCTTCATTCCCTTTCCTTGTGTTCTGCTGCTGGTCCCCAGAGTTCAGCACTTACCCTTCTGCTGCTCCCCTTTGGCAGGATCACAACCCGACCTGTTCTTCTCCAACCCCAATAAGCCAAGTGACCTCAGTTGCTCCTCTTTAGTCCAGACCTCAAGGTCTTTCACCATCTTGGTCACTCTGGACATGCTCTAATATTTTGGAGCCTGTGTATTGAAGCACCCAAACTGCACACAGGACTCAAGGTGGGGACACACCAGTGCAGAGCAGAGCAAGACAATCACCTCCCTCGACTGGCTGGTGATGCTGTGCCTGCTGCCCCCCTGGACACAGCTGGCCCTTTTGGCTGACAGTGCACTGCTGACTCATATTCAACTTCCACCTACCCAAACTCCTGGATCTCTCTCTGGAGCTGCTCCCCTGCCTCTCATCCTTCTGTTGGTACATATACCCAGGACTATCCTATCCCATGTGCAGAATCCAACACTTCTGCTTGTTAAATTTCATGTGGTTGTTGATTGCATATGGCACAGCTCTCTATCTTAAATCCCATTTGAGTAGTTCATAATCAATCCCTCTTCTTTCTTCCTGATTTTCTTAGAAATCTCTAGTTAGATTAACTTATCATCTTAACAGTATGGAAATGGAACAATTTCACCAAAATGAAACAAAACAAACAAAAAAAACCCCACAAAACATAACTAGCTTTTATGGAAAACCAAAAATACCACATAGCTTATAAATGCTACAGATGAGTGAGTCATTCCAGTAATGTAACATTCCTAAGTGATTGCTGAAAGTTATTTCAGGTCTACTTGAACCTTTTGGTTCTAATTCATTTTGCCAGTCATAAATGAAAAGAATTGAAAAAAAAAGTTGAAGAGTGCAGTTATTCAATTCAATGTGAAATAACACTGTATTACAAAAAATGTGTCTTTAAGGGACTAAAATCAATAAACAAGAAACAGGAGACATTTTCTCAGTCTAAGTCATAAAGGTTGTTAGAAAGCATTAAGATGTTTATTTGAGATTAATAACATTAGAACAACTAAGAAAAATTACTTGATTTAGTCACAAAAAAAATTGATTGTTTACAGGACTGTAGTCTTCTGATTGCTCTGCAACAAGGTTTTCCAAGCCATGGTTGAATCCATTTTGCTAGAACAGGTATGAATTTTTAAAAATTTCTGATTTCTGCCATCAAGAGAGTTAGGACTGCTCTTGATTCTCAGAAATAATCATAGAATCATAAAATCATAGAATCATAGAATCATAGAATCATAGAATCATAGAATCATAGAATTAACTGGGTTGGAAGAGACCTCTGAGATCATCAAGTCCAACCCTTGATCCAACCCCACTGTGATTACTAGATCATGGCACTCAGTGGCACATCCAGCCTTGTCTTAAAAAGCTCCAGGGACGGAAAATCCACCACCTCTCTGGGCAGGCCATTCCAATGCCTGATCACTCTCTCTAGGAAGAACTTCTTCCTAATGTCCAACCTAAACCTCCCCTGGCAGAGCTTAAGCCCGTGCCCTCTTGTCCTAGTGCTGATTGCTCGGGAGAAGAGACCGACCCCACTTGGCTACAACCTCCTTTCAGGGAGTTGTAGAGAGTGATGAGGTCACCTCTAAGCCTTCTCTTCTCCAGACTAAACAACCCCAGCTCCCTCAGCCTCTCCTCATAGCACTTGTGCTCCAGTCCCTTCACCAGCCTCGTTGCTCTTCTCTGGACCCGCTCCAGCACCTCAATGTCCTTCCTGAACTGAGGGGCCCAGAGCTGAACACAGTACTCAAGGTGTGGCCTCACCAGTGCTGAGTACAGGGGAAGGATCACTTCCCTGCTCCTGCTGGCCACACTGTTCCTGATCCAGGCCAGGATGCCATTGGCCTTCTTGGCCACCTGGGCACACTGCTGGCTCATGTTCAGCTTCCTGTCAATTAGCACCCCCACATCCCTTTCCATCTGGCTGCTCTCCAGCCACTCTGTGCCCAGCCTGTAGCACTGCAGGGGGTTTTGATGGTCAAAGTGCAGGACCCGGCACTTGGCCTTGTTGAACTTCATCCTGTTGGAATCAACCCATCTCTCCAGCCTGTCCAGGTCCCTCTGTAGAGCCCTCCTGCCTTCCAGCAGGTCAACACTCCCTCCCAACTTGGTGTCATCTGCAAATTTACTAATGGTGGACTCAATTCCCTCATCTAAATAGGGCAGCAGAAAGGCATTGGACCAACAAATACATTGGCTCACTTGCAAATATGTCTGTTCCCACTACTAAAAGTTTACATAGATTTGACTGGTGTTCTTAATGAATAGAATTAAATAGTTTCCTTTTAGTTGTTTTTATATTCTTGGTTTTTTATGACTTCTAGAGCCAATAAATGGATTTTTTTTTTTTTTTTAACTTGCAGGCAATTAGTAGTGTTTTCCATGCATGGCTTGTGAGACCCCCTGGGAAACATATGTAGATATTTTATTAATGATTATAGGCATTCACTGAGGTTTATTTATTTATTTACTTAGGTAGTATTATTTGTAATTAGGATTACCTCATAACATTGAAGATAGAAACAACCAATCAAAAACTTGTAGCTATTGTCTGTTGCATCACTTGGATTTATAACTTCAAAAGACAGGATTTACACTTTAGTGACCTGCTACCTTTTACTTTATTATATTAACAACTCTATTGAGTTTCATAAATTAGTGCTTTGAATAAATTTTCTCATATGAGAATTGCTGATATTCCTATTTTTTTTGTTCTTATAGTAGATGATAAGAGTTTGCTTGTAAAAGTATTAATTAATTTCTCTTTGTAATGAACTTCACAAGCTTTTTGATCTTCAGGTCTTCAAAGTACCTAACATAGTTTATAACACATTGTCTCAGTCACCATCAGACCTAAGAATTTATGCTCAATATGGCCCAAATGGAAAAGCTGCAGAAGGCAACTGCAGACAATGTGACTAACCACGAGTTCCTAAAATTCAGACTACTTGTAGCCAGATGTGTATCCTGTTTATCAGTAGAAACATTGGATCTTGCTGGGGTGCTGAAGAGTATTAAATCAAAATCCTCACTGACTCTGGTGTCTCATATTCTCCCGAGGGAACAAGTCCCAGGGCCACATGTGAGCATAATAGGAAATGTTCTGGGTCATACCAAAGGCTGGTTGAGGTCAACAGGTACCCAGGATGAGTAATAACAAGGTAAACATATATGAACAAGACATAGACTACAACTACATTAAGTTTGGGAACTTGTTCAGTCACGTCTGTTCATTATGCCTCAAGTAACATACAGATGATTTCTCTTTCATGCTTTATATAAATCTTCTTTCAGACAAAAGTGAATTTCAGCACCATAGCACTGGCATCCACTATTTACCATTCTTTCCCTTTTGCTTTTTCTGAACCTGGTTTCTACCTAATCTATTTTATGTCTCTTAATTTTCATACTGGAATACATAGTAAACATGTACTTTAATAGAAAAGGTGTGTCCTTTGGGCAGTATTACATATAGTACCAGTTAATTTTATCGAAAGTTTTCTTTTTGTTGCATTTGAGAGGCATGACAGAAGGCACTGCTTTTTTTTCTCTCAAACATTCCCTTTCTATATTTTTATTATTTTCTGTATTTTTTACCACTTATCTGAAGCATGTATGTTTTTTCTCATAACCTTTCTGTCTCCATTTTTCCATGCCTTGACTGCCCATGCTCCCCATCTCTAAAGCATTTCTAATTTTGGAGAACAGATGTTATTAAGACAAGAAGTGAAATGAGGCACAGCAATTTACAAAGTTTAAAAGTGAGAAATTATTACAAATGAAAATGCAAAGCTTTAATGAGACAGAATGCAGCATACTGATTTTTCAAAATACAAAAACCATGATGGGGTTCTAAATTTCAAAAGTATAAATTTTCCCATATATTTTCAAAGATATAGTAACATTATACTTTTATTGTTATTGTGAAGGGTTTAACTGACTTGTGGAGAGTTTTACTGAAAAAAACATCATCCATTAATTTTATCCACTGTTCTATTTCTAGTTCAGTTTCAGAGAAGGAGTTTATTTATATTCTGGGCTTCTTGTCAACTTGATGCTCAGTTGCAGATTTTCTTCCCCTCATTTTACCACTGACAGTTTCACTGTTCCTGTGGCTTAAGAAGTGTAGAATGATGTGCCAGAAGAGGGGCATCATGCCACCATGCGTACAGGATAGAGTTATTGTTAACAGCCAATGTGGTTTTATATTCACTATCTGCTGAGTGAATCTCAAAAGCCCTCTTTGCCCCACTGAGACAGAATTTTCTTTAAAAAGGCAACAACAACTAAGAGGCACCCATTGATTATTAAAATTGTGGTTTGAAGGACATTTTTTCTCTCTTTATCATTATCTGGTCTGGATACCAAGTCCTGGTATTATATCTGAAAGCTAGGAATTTACTTCTTAAAGGGGCTTTTCCAGCTGCTCTGAATCTGGTAAGAAATCCTGTCAGTATTTAAATCACATCTAAATACCAGCCCCACTAGTATATCAAACTGTGCCAACACAACATTAAATATTGAACAGTCACTGCTTGTTGGTTGAATGTTAACTTCATTAAGAGTAAGCAGTCAAGTTAAAATAAATCATAATTTCCACTAACAATGATTGCAGCAGTCATTAGCTTGTCTAAAAGCTGCTGCAGAAACATTTAAAATGCTTTTCTAGTAAATAATTTCAATTTTAAAAATAAATTAATTAAGAAATTATATTCCATAATAATAAAAGCTGTCTAATTATTTCTGGAATTAAATAGATCATTGACAACATGGCAAAATAATTTAGTATAAGTGTACTCCGTACCAAGTTCTAGGAACATTAAATAGCAATATATTTTTGATTCTGATTCTGATTCAGAGGAATCATTCTGTCCACTCATATGTTTTCTCAGCTTTTAAGTAGCTTTATTTTTAAAAACTACAATAACATATTTGAGGGAAAAGGGTACTCAGTACCAAAAAGATGCTCCTACTACCTATTAGCACTGCAAGCTGTCTTCTATCAAAAAAGAAAAGTCAATGTCATTTGGCAAATTTTATCCAATTTCAGAACACTTTGCCAAGGGAATTGGTGGCTTTATTCTCCTCTTTACCAAAATTTCCAGAGTCATGGGAAAACTGGCACACAGTGTAGAATCATCATTCATCCATGACCAACCACCAGGCCACAGCCACACAGCAGGAGGGATGCAATGGCTGATGAAATCCACCAACAGTCCCAGTCTGCCTATTTCCACTAACTTCCTCCTCTCCAGGACACACAATGAAATGGGATTTGGATTGATTTCTGACAGAACTAGGTACTGCCAATATGGAGAGGGAGTTAAAAAATTTACAATATTATGAAAGAGGAGGAGTCAGAAAGAAAAAGTCATCAGCAACACTTTATTACGGTGTGAGCTTCAGGAACTGGTGACAAAAAATTTACCCTGGATTGCTCCATGGACACTATAATTGCATGTAAACTGTTCAATATCTGAATGCATCCACTGTGATGAAATTTCCTAAAAAGGAGCTTAATAATTGAATGAAGAAGGTAAATTTTTACATACTGCCACTTGTATTGTATGTAAAGAGCTGCACTTTCATTTACTCTAAGTAGTACAGTAAGTGTTAATGGGATTTTTTTTATCAAAATCTCCATCTATTAATGATGTGAACATAAGGAAACAATTTACACAATTAGAAAAATGTGTAAATATCTGCTACATAGAAGTCAAATATGTTTATGTAATTAAATATTAATATCCAATCTAGTGCAATGTTTATACCTCATAATCATGTTAATTACCCATCAACAGGAAAAATTCTTTAGCCAAATAATGTCAGTGTTGCCGTAATGATTCTCCTCTAGAGACACAGCTGCTCTGTAGCTCTGTAATACAGTGTCTTCTTGGCAGTACTTTTTTGTTATACAAACAAAACTAAAGCAATGAACATAAATACACGTTACCTGCTTTCCAGATTGCAGTATAAAGTAATATAACAGCTTTTGGTAGCATAGGTCTTGTTAGCACAAGTCTGTTACCACACCTTTCAACTGAGAAAACTGAATTCCTCCTGAACTATTTTCCTCTGCTAATCTGCTGACTAGCTTAGAGCTTGTGTCGCCTTAAAGCAGTTTTGTACATAATTTTTCTTCCCATCAGATCAACATGTAATAACAAGTAACTTAATCCTGTCTCAACAACCCTACTTCTCTGGATTCCAGAGGTGGATTACTTGAGATTTTAATGTTACTTTCTCAGTCATCTTTTGATGTTGAAAATCCCAGATTGATTTACCTGGTTCCACTGTTGCCCATCTTATCAGCTTTGTGAGGTTACCTTATCTTAAATCAAGTATATACTTTACACTCCAATTTTACAACATGCTCAGCAGAACCTTTACGAAGAAAATAAAACTTTTCCAGGTTTGAATATGACAACACTGACTTCAGATGCATGCTGCACACTGTCATGGCAAATGCAGTCACTACCATCATTATACAGGCAGGCTGCATCTGCTGTAGAAGAAAGCATTAAGCACAGATTAGGCAAAAAGAAACGGTATAGGACCCTTGGACAGGGCAGATGGAAATGGAAGGCTTTAGTTTCAACCAGCTGCTACACTGCAGAGTTGTATCTATGAGGCCCCAGACAATTTTGTGCCCACACACACTTTGCTTGGGCCAGTCTCAGAGAAAAGCATCAGCAAACTGGGTTCCTTGAAGAGACCTTGTGAATCCATAGAGTATCTGGAAAACAATCTTAAGAGCACAGAGGAGGAAACATAGAGGCCTCAAATGAAAACTAAATACAAAGCGCTGTATCGTTATTTGAAAGAAGCAACCAAGAAATTTTATGAAGCAAGAGTAAAAAGCAATTCTTTCATTAGAGATTTACCACCCACACTCAGAATACTTAAATTATCAAGGAAAAAAATGGCAACATGCAAAGCAGAGGAACACAGCTTCAAACCACATCTAATATAGAAATGTGCTAGCACGAACTTCATTTCTTTCCCACCACCCGTAGTTCTCCAGACCTTCCAAGGCAAATTGCTGGGATCTTCTGACAACAAAAAAGATGAGGTAGCCACTTCCAGCAAGTGTGCATAGGGCTAAGAAGTTAGCAAGAACCCTCAGAAATCGAGTCAAGTGAATATTTTCCTCTTTTCGGCTCTCTTGCTCCTCCAAGATTGATTCCTGCGCTTGTTAGAAAGAAAAGAATATTATGAATACTTTAATGGTCAAGATCCCATATTACTTCCTAAATTTTTAAAAGTCAGTTAAATAAGTTACAAAGATGTAAATGCACATCTCCACTTCATGTTTTGAGATGAGCTTATATTATCTCATAAAATCTTGTTTAAATCCTGGCAAATTCTGGGGTTTTGGCTCCCCATGGTTTGCTTTGCCTTTGTTGAGTGTGCCCCCACTGAGTCTTGTTACACTTGTACTCATCTGCCAAAAAGAAAACGGTATGTTCTGTTAGCTTGCAAGGTGATAGGAGGCTGAGAGACACAGCAGGATAGATTTGTGATTATTTGTCAGCAAAGGAACTGTCACAGTTTAAAAATGTGCACTTGTGAAAAAAGAGGAAAAAGTTTTATTCTGAAAGTCAGCAATTTGAAAGGAATAAAAAGACAGTCCAGACACAGGAATCTCAAAAGAGGCAAACAGTGCAAACCTTCAGACTTCAGAATAAAATATTTGCCCCACATTTACCCTTGGCCATGACTGATAAATATTAAGACTGGTGTAACTGTAGTCTCCAGTTTTCTCTGCAGAAGGAGCTTTTACTGTGGAGTGTCCTTATGAAAGGGAGTTTGGTTACAGAGATCAATTGCCCAGAGGGGAAGCTGAACTCCTGCATTGTAATAATTGCCCTGCATGACTCTGCTCGTTTTACAGCTTATGTTTGTCACATAAATGAAAGGAAATTGCAGCAGCTTTTGAACAGAACTCCAATGACCTCACCCAAGCCAAGACTTCACCCTATATCTGAGGTTCTTTGCTCATTTGCAAGTGTCACTGTAAATCTTCATGAGTTTGTTTCTCAGAATTAAGCCTGTGTCTCAACTGATTTGTTATCTTCCCCAAATAGCTTTCAGTATCTGACCCTAATAGGCAGACAGGGCAAGCTGACACAGTTTCAGTGCTTTCAGTCCCTATTTCTTCAGTATTTGTTTTCCTAGGATCTTTTTCTTCATGACTTATGCTGACTTTGAGTGGATTTGTTATTGAGTTGCTTGTCTCATGCCTGCAGTTGAGGAGGTGGGCAGGGTGCGTTGGTAAATGGGTAATATCACTACTGCAGACAGGAAAGGTGGTGAGTGCAAATGAGCAGTGCAGCTGGTGCTTAGTCCTCCAGCTCCCCTCGTGTGTTGTCAGTGACCCTGCAAGCTTAGCATCTTCTTCCTGAAAAGCAAGTGTACACTCAAAATTCTGAGGCCAATTCTTATGACGTGATAAATTGCCCTTTATAGATGATTCTCTTACTTTATTTTATGATATTTCTTCTCTGTAACAAAAGAAGGTGGTAATGTGAGGTTAGCAATATATGAGCAACATTCAAAAAAATTTTTCTAGACAAGCACCGTAGAAATTTGAAGCCATCAGAGATGAGAAAAAGGAAAATAGTAGTTTTACGTTAGAATAATCTTCCTAAATCTAGTGCTATCAGCATAGGGGACCCAAAACATGGTAAACCTTTTTCTTCCAAAATTAAAATGAAAAAATAGAATGGCTAGGCACAAGACTCAGATTCAGAAGGGTATAATGCCAGTTCAAATTCAAGTCTCTAGGCCCCAGGCACAGCTTATACTTGACCTTAGTTCCATCTGATTCACATTAATGTGAAAGTGTTACCTCTCCTTACTGAGCTCTGTTTTACCTTAAAGCTTGTTGTGATGGAGGCAAACTTATTATCTGCTGTCTCAGGATTGCCAATCAGGTAGTCCCAGCTTGTAAACATTTTCCAACTGAAAATAAAACTAGTATCATCTCCACCACCATCTTCATTTGCATTCCTTGCCATTCTACAAAAGGCAGAAAGACATAGGAAGACCTTGTTAGAACCAAGTTCTACTTTGTGAGCATGATTTTTAAATTGCTCGTAAGTTTTAGCATTTTTCTGGAAAAAACAAACAAACAAACAAACCAAACCCTATATCGTTCTTGCTGTCAGTTGTTAAACTAAATCTTTTCTTGAAGCAAAAACAAACAAGAGAAAAGGATGGAGGTTTTCGTATTTAGACAAGTTATGACCTCACAACACACAATTTGATAAGGAAGAATGAATGTACTTCATTAGCACCTTGACAAAACTCTGCTCGATAAGAAACACAGTAGAAAAACAATATCAAGAAATCTCCTAAATAGAAAGCTGCAGCACATCCTGAACAGCAATAGATTTTATTAGAGACTTTTCAAAGAGAAAAAAGAGAAAAATCCTAATAAATAAAATATTCTAAAATAACAATAAACAAAACAAACAAATACAAAACCCCAAAATAAAAAAACATAGTGAAGAGGATAATATATATTCTAAAATAATAAACTACAATAAAATCTGTTTATAGCATATAAAATATCACTACTAGAGCTTTCTGTGTCCTATACACATACAAAAGAAATTTATGATACTATGCAGAAACATCAGATTATTTCTTCAGAGAAATATTTTTTTTTCAAATTTGACTTAATCTGAACTACAAAATTCTCTATTTCAAAGGGTTTTCATTCAGGTAATAACCATGGTCTTGCTTCTGCATAGTTTGTCACCTAATTCAAATCATTATTCACAAGGATGGAGTGAATTAGTAGGGTAAAAATCACTTAGCCTGCAGTAATGTATTTATTTATCAGTGACAAGGAGGTAACACCTATTTTACAGCTCACTGGCACAACAAAGTTATTGATACTAATGTTAATGCATTCTACATACCACATTTTCAACAGTCCACGTACTCTCAAATCCAGGAGGAGAATAGTAAGTAAATAATACAGAAAATCCTTTTTAGCTGCTGTAAATCAGTAGCAGGGTTGGTCCTATGCAGAAGGATTAGAGATTATGGAAGATTCTTGGTAGAATCTGCCCTGTTTCTAGTTTGTAGACAAAAAAAACTCTTTCTGAAGAGTTTCTAATTAAATAATGAACAGTCTTGTGGTTAGAATATAATTATTTTGAGGCCAGAAATATTCCAATTTTATGTTGTGCAATTGAAGAGCTGAAGAGAGCAACCTTTTATGTAAATATTTCCCCTAAACAGAATCACAGTGTTTATAATCCTGACTATCTCTTTCACACAGATATTTCCTTTCCCAGTTCTCAGTCAGCAGCAGAAATATGGTAACACCTCCTGTTACACTGCTCTTAGTTTCTCTGCCCACTGTGCTTCTTTCTGGAAAAAGAGAAGAGAGCAGAAGTCTGCAAGAAATCTAGTATGATTACCTAAATGTTGGTCAGCATTAATGTCATAAGGCCAGATGGAAAGTTAGCACATACAATGTATTTTTGATTCAAGGATATTCCTTTGTTTGGGCTACAGGGTTTTTCTGCTAGAAGGTATTTATTTATTTTTATCTGAGTGACAGTCATTGAAATAAAATTGTGTGAGACTAAAACTATTCTAATCGTTACAAAAAATATTTTAAAATACATTTTTTGCTAAACAAATTTCTCTTTTATTGTGGTAGTCTATTTTTTCTCCAAAAATACATACATGTGACTGAAGACTTTTTTTTCTTTTTTTTTTAATGAAATGCTTTTTGCCCTCTATAAGAACCAGTTTAAAAAGCAGAATATTAATTAATCTAGTGCTCATGCAAATGAAAAATACTGCCTTCAGCATGAAAGTGTGGAAATAGATTAACTGCATTTTTCTCTATATTTACAAATGTCTTTGAGTCTTGACCTGCAATGCTCTGATTTTTTTTCACCATAGGCATTTTGTGAAGCCACCACTAGGGCTAACCATATTACTGTTTTAGGTGGTCATTTTGGTTGAATCAAGGGTACTAAAGACTATAATAATTGGCAGCATTTACCTCTGACCGTGAGCTACACACAAAATTATTTACCATATGTTTCTTTCTTGCTTTGTAAAATAGTTTAGCTCACATAAGGTATCATTAAAAGTAGAACAATTTAATTTCCTGGATGTTAGCTGACAAGTATCATGAAAAGATGCCAAGTATTATGAAAAGATGGGCTGACACCTGACAGTTCTCTTCCTTACTTTATGCATTCATTTTTCATTCTGAAGTTCAGGAGAGAAGTGGGTTTTTTATTTCAGTAAAGATTTATTCCCTCTTTCATAACACTGTAACACAAGCTTGTGGTGCAGAACAGCAGATAAATAATATAGGTTGAAGGAATCTTACATAACTTTGGCCTTGCACTTGATCTTGCATTGCCCTGTTCTTACAATTACCATATTTTCAAAAAGACAGTCTCAGGGGTCCACAGCGGAATTATCTGCTTCTTTGAATATACTTTATTCCAGAGCCAAGGAACACTTACGTTCGAATGACAATCATAAAGCTGTAGCCAATAGTCCCAACCCCAACAAGGAAATACGAAAGAGGCATCCTGAACTTCAGCCATCCAATTGTCCTCTGGTTATTGTAATAACCATAAAAGAGTACCGAATACTGTGCAAGGCCCTGAAAAGACAACAAAAATTATAATGTTACATTTCTTAATTATGCTCATAGTCACCAACTGTAGCGATAGCAATGTACTGAAGCACTCATTTCAATGAAATCAAATCAGTTGTAAGCAAAACTATAATAAATCTAATAGGATAGAAAAGGTCTCCTTTTTTAAAAAAAAAAGACATAAAACATTTCATAGCAACTTCAAAATCTTTTATCTTTAAAACTCTTTGTGAACACTCGATCTACAATTTAATGAGTCAAAACTTTTTCATCCACAAACTTCTTGTAAAGACAAAAGCATATTGGTTTACATAATTTGTTTTTCAAATTAGGTGCAGATTAAATGCTAGATTTTTAACTTAATATTCACATTCCTAAAATTTACTTGCATAGCCTATTTGATATGGAATTCTTGTATGTGTTCGTTGTCTGCTGGGTGATCATTCAACATATATTAACCAATAAGTAGCTCTATTTTATGGGTGATTACTCAGTAGGTAAGGTTTTCACACACTTAGAGTAAACTCCAAGGCTATAAAAATAGAAATATGAGTGCACTGACTTTCTCAGCAATTATATCTTCTAAATATCTTAATATGATCTGCCCTCTCTTCTACAGCTCAGACTGTAAGAAATTGTTGGTATCTACATGGATAAAATATCTAAAACTTCTTGATAATTCTCAGAGCAAGAACTCACCTCCTAGAAGAAGACCAAAGCCAGAGCCTAAGGACAACTTAGCTCATGCAAGTAAAGGCAAAGCTCCAGCTGGATGTGAGGATTTCAAGTCAAATACATAGTATTTGAACATGTAATTGAAGGATGGACTATGCATTATTTTGATAGTAATATAATAAGCTGTCGGGGTTGTGAATTAAAAGCCATTTGCTTCCCTTCTGTTTTTCAGTTGCCCATTTTCCTTAAAATTAATAACATCTTTCTCTTATATATTATCATAGAATCATAGAATTTGCTGGGTTGGTAAGGACCTCTGAGATCATCAAGTCCAACCCTTGATCCACTACCATCACGGTTACTAGACTATGGCACTCAGTGCCACACCCAGTCTCATCGTAAAAACCTCCAGGGACAGAGAATCCACCACTTTCCTGGGCAGCCCATTCCAATGCCTGATTATCCTCTCCGTAAAGAATTTGTTCGTAATATCAAACCTAAACCTCCCTTGGTAGAGCCTGAGACCATGCCCTCTTATCTTATTGATAGTTGCCTGGGAGAAAAGACCATCCCTTCCTGGTTACAGTCTCCTTTCAGGGAGTTGTAGAGAGTGATAAGATCTCCCCTGAGCCTTCTCTTCTCCAGTCTAAACAACCCCAGTTCCCCCCACCTCTCCTCACAGGACTTGTGCTCCAGTCCCTTCACCAGCCTGGTTGCTCTTCTCTGGACCCGCTCCAGCACCTCAATATCCTTCCTGAACTGAGGGGCCCAGAACGGGACACAGCACTCCAGGTGTGGCCTCACCAGCGCTGAGTAAAAGGGGAGGAATCACTTCCCTGGTCCTGCTGGCCACACTGTTCCTGATCCAGGCCAGGATGCCATTGGCCTTCTTGGCCACCTGGGCACACTGCTGGCTCATGTTCAGCCTCCTGTCGATCAGCACCCCCAGGTCCTTTTCCGCCTGGCTGCTCTCCAGCCACTCTGTGCCCAGCCTGTAGCACTGCAGAGGGTTTTGATGGTCAAAGTGCAGGACCCGGCACTTGGCCTTGCTGAACTTCATCCCATTGGAGTCAGTCCAACTCTCCAGCCTGTCCAGGTGCCTCTGTAGAGCCCTCCTGCCTTCCAGCAGGTCAACGCTCCCTCCCAACTTGGTATTGTCTGCCAATTTACTAATGGTGGACTCAATTCCCTCATCAAAATCATTACTAAAGTATTCATACATTATGAACTTTTTAAGTTGCTGTGTTCTGAAAAGTTAGAGATAATTCCTTCACTATATGTCATTTAGTGTGTTGATTCCTGGGCTTTGTCAATGGCATTTCACTGTAAGATTTGAAAAAACTTTAGCTCTGTAAAGGTAGAAATGCATGGAAGACATCTTTCACTCCTTTCTGAGCCAAGCATGAAAGAGTATTGATCAAATATTTTATTTTAATGAGCTTTGAGAACATATTTCAAAAACTTATGTTAAAATTAAATTCCAATTAAATCTATTAAAAGCTGAAAGTGTTTCTCTTTACCATGTCAATAATATGAATACAGTTTCAAGAGAAAAAAAAAAGGTAAAAGATAGGCTGAGCTTATCTTTTATTTACTGTCTTACAGACTAGTGGGGTTTAGGGTTTTTGCATTTTTGTTGGATTTTTTACAGGAATGAAATGATGATTGGCAATGTGTGTTCATATATTTGTAACTTACATGGTAATATACAAATACTGCTAGCAGATGAAAGGTATTATCTCCTGTGCTCTTCAAAAAAATGTCATTGTCTTAAGGGAATATTTGTCAATCCATTATGCTTCAAGAAAATTCTCTTTTTCCCCTCAATATATGAGGGGATCCATCTCTTTCACTGATTGCCTTATTCTGTGTTTATTGCATATGCGTTTGCTCCTGTCTTTCCACAATGTCTCCATTCATGTTTTCTCAAATACATTTATTTTAAAAACATTGTTCCGATTTTCTGTATGTGCTTTGTCTGAAGGAAACATGTATACAGAGAGCTTGTGAAAAAAAATATGTAAACTAATTCTATTGCCAATTATCTCTAGAAATAATTCATATTAAATCACTGAATATTAAACAATGAAGTATTTATGAATAAAAGAGTCATATGAAAATGAAGTATTGCAAGATTATGCACTTACACTAAAATCCCAGAGAGTAGCAAAGTTCATAGCAGTTGCTTCTTCAGCTCTTGGGACAGTTTTTCTAGGTAAAGAGCCATATGGCTTACCCATCAAAGCCTGAAACCAAAAAATGAGAGTGATTTACATTTTAAAGCAAAATATTAACCAAGGGAAGGAAGGGACAGTGATTTATCATTTCTTAGGAAGACTTGTTTTATTCTCCTAAACTCCTTAATGACAATGACCTATTGGTACAACTCCTTTCATGGATCCTCACATTACTGATTCAAACTGTGCCTAAAATATACATTTAATTTAAATTTTCAAATTTCTAAATTTAAAGTTCCACTAGTATCACTGGATTGTCAAACTATGCCTCTTACATTTAAAGGCAGCACAGAAGCCCAAATTTCTCTGATGAATGGGGTTTTTCTTGCAGAGAAGAACAGAAGATTAATTTTTCTTACATTATGGATTTTATTGAGTGATTTTTTTAATTGAAATATATGGGAAGATGGCAGGGAATCAGTTTTCGGATTCTGACAGTCCCATTGCTACTGACAAGATGCTTGCTCAGGCACAGTATATGTCCTTTTCCAGGGTTACCCTGAAAACTATTGTGCGTTTAGTTTGGTTTCGGCTTCTAAAGAAAATGGATCATGCTACTGAAATGCTGTACTAGGAAGTTATTGGAAATTCCTACCTAATTGTTTCCCATCTGCTTACTAGAAAATAAGAAAATCAAGAGAATATGGAATATTCAAATCAGGGAGATGGCACGTAATTTTAATTCCATAAAAGTCCTGCTTTTAGGAGGACAACATGGTGGCTCAAAGGAACACAAAAAATAATACATTTCATAGATATAATTTCAGTTTGAATTATATCTGCTCTAAGTACAACTAGTAACGGTAATTCTGCAAATAGTACAAAGCATGGCAGGTCTCTCATATGAATTTACAGCCTAACTGTGCCTTAACACCATGTGAGTATTATGTCTGAAAATATCCTCTGAACCCCATAAAGAATCCTTTTACTGCAATGCCCGTTGCAGTCAAGAAACTCCAGGTGGCTTCTTCTTAGTCTCAGTTCCTCTACTTAGTTCTGCATAAAATCATCACAAAACAACCAAAAAAACCCAAAACAAAGAAACAAAACTATACCTATGTCATCCCAGACACAGGAAAACACTTTCAGCAGTAAACCCTATATACATTTTACTTTTTTCCATCATGTCTATTTCAAGGCATCTCTCTGTAGAGACAATTGTCTGCAAGGAAAGTACCTCTTTACAGGCTTAGTACACCTTAATACTTTCAAATGGATCACAAAGAGATTAAAAACTTATTTAAGGGTCCAATCCTATGAAATCTCACAAAATCACAGGATACACTGAGCTGGAAAGGACTCACAAGGACCATCAAGTCCAACACTTAACTGACAAATGTTGAAGGTGGATGGGGAGAGGGAACCCCAGGCAAAGGGCTTTTCCTTTTACCCCTTGCTCCAGGGGTGAGCATGCCCTCCCCCTGGCCCCCCACCTCGCAGCGCTTCACGGCCCCCAAAGAGACCAGGACGCCAGCAGCAAGCAGGGAGAGCAGGCAGAGAGAGCATTGTTCTGGTAGTTGCTTAAATAGCTTTTGGGGGAATTACAAAGTGACCATTAGAAGTCCAGGAGGTCTTACAAACAACCAATGATAACAAAGGGTTAGCAACCAATAGGTAAGCTTTCAGTTATCTCTCAGGACATTCCAAAGATACAGTGAGGGATCTTGGGAAGGAGAAGGTAAGTTTGCACAAGTTACAAAAGCCATTTTGGAAGCATGGTCAACATTAAAACAACATTAAAACTTCAGCATACTTTTCTATCCCAAAAGCATACTGCAACACTTAACCCTGCACAGGATCATCCGCAGCAGTCACACCACATGTCCAAGAGTATCATTCAAACACTTCTTGAACTTCGGCAGGCTTGATGCTGTGACCACTTCCCTGGGGAGCCTCTTAAAGTGCCCAAACACCCTCTGGGTGAAGAACCTTTTTCTAATATCCAACCTAAACCTCCCCTGACACAACTTCAGGCCATTCCCTCAGGTCCTGTCACTGGTCACCACAGAGAAGAGATCAGTGCCTACCCCTTCTCTTCCCCTCATGCGGAAGTTGTAACTGCAAAGAGGTCTCCTCTCAGCCTCCTCTCCTCCAGGCTGAGCACACTAAGTGACCTCAGCCACCCCTTATTCGGCTTCTTCTCAAGGCCCTTCACCATCTTCGTTGCCCTCCTCTCAACACTCTCTAATGGCTTACTATCTTTGTTATAGTGCAGTGCCCAAAACTGCCACAATATGCAAGGTGAGATTGCACCAGTGCAGAACAGTGAGAGACAATCCCCTCCCTTGACTGTCTGGGAATGCTTTGCCTGATGCCCCCCCAAGACACAATTGGCCCTCCTGGCTGCCCGGGCACTGCTGACTCATTTTAACTGGCCATTTACCAGGACTGCCAGGTCCCTTTCCATGACACTGCTTTCCAGCATCTCATTCTTCAGTCTGTATCAACAGCCAGGGATGCCCCATTCCAGGTGCAGAATCCATCACTTCCTCTTGTTGAACTTCATATGACTGGAGATTGCCCACCTCTCTAATTTGTAGAGGTCTCTCTGCAGGAACTCCCAGCCTTTGAGAGAGTCAACAGCCTCTCCCAGTTTTGCATTGTCTGCCAACTTGCTCAGTATCCTTTCCAGTCCTGCATCCAAGTCATTTACGAAGATGGTGAAGAGCATAGGGCCTGAGATGGAGCCTGGCAGAACCCCACTGGTGACAGGTCTCCAGTCTGATGTTACCCCAGTCACTGTTACCCTCTGTGCTTGACCTATGAGCCAGTTGCTCACCCACCACATGATGTGTTTATCCAGCTGTATGCTGGACATTTTGTCCAGAAGGCTCCTGCACAAAATCAAAATCACTGCTGAAATCCAAAAATCTTACATCTACTGGCTTCCTTTGATCAACTAAATAGGTGGGTTACCTTCCATAAGACTAAATCAGGTTTGATAAGCAGGACTTTCATGAAGCCATGCTGGCTGTGGCCAATGACTGCATTGTGTTTTGTATGTTTTTCAATACCTCCCAGAATAATCTTCTCCATAACTTTACCAGGCACTGAAGTGAGACTGAAAGGTCTGTAGTTTCAGGGTCCTCCTTCTTGGTCTACTCAAAAATAGGAACAATGTTCACCCGCTTCCAGTCAGCTGGGACCTCTTCGGATTCCCACAACCACTCAAATGTCATCAAAAGAGATTTTGTGATTATATCAGCCAGCTCTTTGAGGATTCTGAGATGAATCCCAGGCCCATAGATTTGTAGGGACCTATTTGGAACAGCAGATACCACACAATTTCTAGGTCAACACACAATTTCTAGGGAGCTGATCATTCATGCAGTTATGGTCCTCCAGCTCAGGGCACTGAGACTCCCTTGATCTATCATCAGTATTGAAGACAGAGGCAAAGAGCATTAAACACCTCTGCCTTGTCTCTGTCCCTTTTTGTGAGGTGACCATCCTCATCCTGTAATGGGCCAATAATATTTCTACACTGTTTATTACCACTGACAGATTTCAAAAAAACTCTTTTTATTGTCCCCTGCATTTCTGGCCATCTACAAGTCCAGTCAAGCTTTGGCCATATGAATTTTCTCCATACAATGGCAGGCAGCATCTCTGAATTTGTCCAGTCTCACGTTGCTTTGCTTCCACAGGGCATATACCTTCTTTCTTTGCTGTCTTTCCAAGGAAGATCCCTACCCAGCCAAGTTGGCCTTCTGACTTGCCTACTTGACTTTCGACATCTGGGAATTGCCTGCTCCTGTGCCCCTAGGAGGTGCTTTAAAAAGTGACCAGCACGGATGGATTTCAGCAGCTGCAAAAACATTTTCCCAGAGGACCTTCCTTACTAATTCTCTGGGCACCCTGAAGTCTGCTCTCCTCATGGCCAGAGCTGAGGTTTTGCTGGCACCTTTCCTCCTGTCAACAGAGACTTTAAACCCGATCACTTCATGGTCACTGTGGCCAAGATGGTCACCAGTCTCCACCTCTCTCACAAGATCCCCTCTGTTGACAAGCAGCAGATCAAGCAGTGGGAGACCTCGTCACTCTCTACAACTCCCTGAAAGGAGGTTGTAGCCAGGTGGGGGTTGGTCTCCTTTCCCAGGCAGCTATCAGTAAGACAAGAGGGCATGGTCTCAAGCTCTGCCGGGGGAGGTTTAGGTTGGATATTAGGAAGAAATTCTTTACAGAGAGGGTAATCAGGCATCAGAATGGGCTGCCCAGGGCAGTGGTGGATTCTCCATCCGGAAGAGACTGGATGTGGCACTTACTGCCATAGTCTAGTAACTGTGGTGGTAGTGGATCAAGGGTTGGACTTGATGATCTCAGAGGTTCTTTCCAACCCAGCTGATTCTATGATTCTATGATTCTGTGATTCTATGATTAAGTAGGGTATCTTTCTGAGTCAGCTCCCTTAGGACTTGTTCCATAATGTTGTCATCCATTTTTTTCAGAAATCTTCTGGCCAGGGTTGTACCAGCTGTACGATGCTTCTGGTTCATTTCTGGCAAATTGAAGTCCCCCACAAAGACAAGGGCAGTTGACTTGCAAGTGTCCCATAGTTCCTCAATGAGTAATTCATTTGCATCATCATCCTGGTTGGGAGGTCTGTAGCAGACTCCCACAATACATCTGCATTATTTGTTTGCCCATTGATTCTTGCCCAGAGGCTCCCAGCTGTGCAATTTCCAGCTGTGGGTTCCCTATATTCTATCCCCTCTGTTACATATAGTGACACTCCTCCACCTCTTTTGCCCTGGCTATTCCTCCTGAAGAACCTGTAACTGTCCAACAGGGCACTGCAGTCACAGGATTCATCCCATCAGGTTTCACTGATGGCAATGATATCAAATTTCAGGGATTGGGCCAAGGTTTTGAGTTCCTCTTGTTTGGTCTTCATGTTTTGTATGTCGGTGTAGGAACATTTCAGGTATGTTACATGTTAGCCTACACCTCGTGAAGCAAATTGAGGGATCCCATTACTGCTTGGGTTTTGCACGCCATCCCATTGCTCATCACTGGTGTGCCAGGTTTTGTCCCTTTCACTCTTCCAAGGTAGAAAGCTCTGTCAACAAGGCCCACTAGTTCCTGTGGCTCAGACTATCATTACCCTCTGAGACAGGTGCAGTAGACCAGGGGTTGAGTAGATTATTTTTCTAATTACACCAGCCTCGGACCACTCATTGACCTGATGGATCTGTGTATTCCTATCAATATTATTTCTTGTTGCCAGAAGCATTGAGGAAATCACTATCTGTGCTCCTGACCCCTCTACAAATCTTCCCAAGACATCTTTTGATGTCCTCAGGATTCTTTGTTATTCCATCACTGCCAGTTTGAACAACCAATAGTGGATAGTATTCAGGTGGCCTTATTAGACTGGAGAGTTTTTCAGTAATATCCCTTACCCAAATCCCTGGGAGACAGAAGACTTCCCTATGAGTTGGGTTGCATCTGCATATCGAGCCTTCCTTTCCCCTTATAAAGCACTTTCCTATAGCAATTTTCAATGAAAATTTAAAAGATTCCCACCTCGGGCACCATTACAAGTCCAAAGGTCAATCCAAAGAGAATCATGTTTATTCCATACATCCAGCGCAAGAATATGAAATAAGATGCTACTGATGAGCCAAAGTGACCTGTGAAAACATCAGATGTGATAAAAAGGCAGACAGATTAGCTGTTTGAAATTATTTTACCTAGGGAAGAAGATGCTGAAAGTTTATGTAAAATAAATAAAATCAGTGGAGGTTTTTAATCTTCTTTATTATGATAATTCTAATAGCTTTTTTCGAAGATTGCACACTAATATTCACAGACCCAGCTGAGAAAATAGAAATGAAAAATATAAAAGTATTAGTTTTATAGACTACCTGGGATCATATAAAAGCTATGACACTTGCTACTATTAAGTAACCTCTGTAAATACATTTCAGTGCTTTTTATTCTTTTTTTCTGTCTGATGTGGATTTTAAGCATTCTTGACATGTTAAGCCAGCACCTGCCCAAATTTAATAGGAAGAAGCACAGAATTAACCAATGGGGATAGTTTTTCCAAGGCCACAAGACAGTTGTCAGTGCTCACCAGATTTTTTTCACAAGGGAGAAACAATATTATCTGCAAGTATTTGTATACTTTCTTTCTCTTACTTTGCTGTTTATGTGTTCTACCAGTACGCAGGTGTAAAGGCAGTCCCATCACCAGCTGAAGGCTTTCTTAAATTACTGGCATTCTGGCAAATGATCCTTTCTGCAAGTAAAAGCAATTGCAGCTTTCCCTACCAATATATTGAACAGAACAAAAACTTAAAGAAAAAGAGTAAACTTTGCAATCCTACCCTTTGAGATTACAAAATTATCCCATTGTGATTTTGGGACCCGTCAGCAAAAACTGAACTTGTTTCAAATGAAAAGATAAATAGATACAAAAGTAAGTCTGAAAAAATGATCTTGTTCCATTTTTGCATTCTTATTTTAAAAGGAAAGAAATGTGCCTGTTGGAAGTTATTCTGCACAAGCAGAAGAGCTTGTGCAAGGATTACTCCTTTAAAGAATCTTGCAAAACTATTACTCTTATAAATCCTCAAGATATCTATTATGTATCCATTATAGATTACATGTTCTAAACTCCACCTCAAGTGAGTAGATAATCTGTTACACAGTCTGTAGACCATTGTTTAAGTACGTTATATAAATTCTCCTCAAAGTGGTTTTTTTTTCAGTCCAAAGCCCCACAAAATCCACAATTTATCATTTTCCTGTTTTTCTACTATTCCGGTTATTCCTTTTGATGCAACTCACAGGTCCTTTCAAATGCAGCTTTTCTAAAATCAGTTTCATTGCATTTTCATCTGCATTTCATCAGTGGCAGAACCTCATTCAGGTATCTATGCAGTTAAGTCAAATATGCTCCAAATAAAGGGCTGCAATTTAAAATTAATCACTGGAACTGCAATGCAAAACTGACTGGTGACAAACATCTACTATCAAACATACCTGTAGGACTAATTACATTGCCTTGTTTATATTTATGCCCAATGTAATAGAAGGGTTAACTTTGTTCATAAAATCTTATGTGTATGAGGGAATAAGAAACTTTTGTTGTAATTAAACAAGATAAGTCTCACAAACATCCTGTTAAACAAACAAGTGTCAGTATCAGTAGAATTTACAACTGATAAGAACTACAGCTTTCATCCCTGAAAGATTCCAGAAGACAGATAACAACAAGCCATACACTCGCAACCACAAAGCAGATTTACAGTCAAAACCCGGGACTTGAAAATGAATAAAAAGGGACATTTGCTACATTTTGATGTGTGTCTTGGGCAAAGCAATGACTTCCCAAACCATCCAGTGCTGTTTTGCTTTATTATCGCTTGCTTAATAAATTTATCAAGGTTTAATTGGAATTGAGGTGTCTAAATTCTTATACCAATTTATAACACCCAATACATGTGGACATCCAAGACTGCTATAATTTTCTCTGTGTTAAATTATGTGGCTGAAAATGGGAGAAATACATTTTACATGAAGATCAAGATAAAGAAAAATGCCAGCAATAATTACAATATAATCTGTACAGTATAATCTGTATATTATAAATACAGACAAAATAAAATTAAGGTAGGAAATAGCTAAATCCCAATTCCACCTTTCCAAGATTAACTTCAACACTGGCTGTTGAATTGTTACCTGCGAAATGAGGATTTTTTTCCATAAAGTGACTAATACTCTCTCAGGGAAATTTTCAATAAGCTGTAATATCAAGCTCAACCAATATTAATGAAAAAATAAATACTCATGGATTTAAAACTATGGGCTGAATACTGACGCATATTCTGAAGCAATTTATCATTTTAGCAGACACCAGAAATATGATCATTGATACTATTCTTATTTACCTACTTTCAATCTCCTTAATTTTCATTTCCCAGGGTATGCAGGCTGTCTTAAAATTCTCAAAGTCTCTTTGAAATTTCATCCATTTCTGAAAAGAGTTGCAGAAAAAGAAAATAAAAACCAACACACCATCATCTCAGTGTCCAGATGCTCAGTTCTCCCTTGAGCTAATGTAAGCCTTTAGTCATGCACAGCATCCTTTGTCAGAGTCTACAAAGTAATAGCTTGTGAACAAACATCTCCTTTTGTTTGTTCTGAATATGTCTCCTATTGGCTCTGCATGAAGTTTCTATTTCTTTTTTTTTTTCTTCCACAATTATTAACTAATCACTTCCTTTCATGTCATGCTCTTTCTCTTTTTCCTTTTGCTTTTTCTCTCTCTTTTCCTTTTACTCCTTTTTTCCTTTTTCTCTTTCTTTCTCTTTTATGTTTTCTTTACTTTTTCTTTCTTTTTAGAATTGTTTCTGAGTCTTCATTTCTTATTTCCTTTGCTATTAAACATTTAAATCTGAAGTTTAAGCTGTGACATTTAATTACAATTACTCTACCCAGTAGTTCATCTATTAATGAGTTTAACTTCTGTAAGTGACCTTCCTGAGCCAAGCTGAGTTTGAAAATCTGATATTTTTTGTGACCATCAATGCTTAGGAGATGTGATCACACAGCTGCTTGCAGAAAATCCAGTCTAACTAAGGGTAAACCTTGCCATAGTAAATGGTCCTGACAAATATTTTTAGCCTTTTTCTGCATCAGCACCTTAGTTTGGGGTAAAAGTGTGCTTTTGAAGTGAATCTCCCAAACCATTCCAATTCAACACGGTTAGATTTGTACTGTAAGGGAGAGTCAGAACATAAAACTAAGTCAAAATGTGTGTTTGGGAGCATGCTAATCTCAAGAGAAAGACTGAACTTTAGATTCAGTCCACACAAACACCCAATCTACTCCAAGAGAAATTAACTTTTACAAGGTATTAAATTCTTGAAAACTCCTGTAAAACACTTGATTTTTGTTTTGATTACAATATCCACCTGTGAGCTTTCATTAGAAATACTTTCATGCAAGGGCAGTGGAAACAAAAGTTTTAAAATGCAAAGAAAGACAAGGAACTCTACTTTGGAAAATGAGTACCTATGGCAATAATTTACAAAAGGTTCCTCATTAGCTTTACAGTAAGTTAGTCAAACAATCAGTTTACCTTGGTCATCATCACTTTGTATGCATAGAATTTTTTTCCTTTTCCTTTTCCAAGAGCACCTTCAAACTTTTCAACAAAAATCTGGGCTTCCCTAGAAAATGACAGCAGAAGAGAGATATAGACCATGGTACAGTAAATGTTATATTTTCTCTATTGTATTAATTTATTTTTTGTGTTTCAGCTCCTCATAGAGTTTTAAAAAATCTTGTCCCCTTAGTGATGTTAGGAAAGAAACTCTCCGAGATTTTGTATTTCATAGAATACTAATCATATGTAGTGCAAGCAGTACAAGCAACTTCAGACATCTGCTCTAATCCAAATGTATTTGGAGATCTGAAATCTGTCTACATCCAGTCAGTGTTATCAAATATTTTTAGTCATAGTGAATTTAGCAGTTCAGCTGCTGCCCATTTGTGTGATGCACAAACTGTTATTTCTCCTGGTCCCATTTAATATAAATTGTTGTCCAGCTACCTAAGGAAAATCTCTTTTCATTATTTGTTTTGGAGGTATGTATACACTAGAGCATTGGTTCTCTCGTGTCTATGCTACTCAACTCTTGAGAATTTCTGCATATATCTTCTCTAGCTGTACCATTCCCAGAGTCATTCTTAGAAGTGTAACTTCACTAGCCCCCAAAAGACTAAAGTTTTGCTTAAAAAATACAGCCCACATATTCACCACTTCAAAGTTGTTCTTTGAGGATAGAGTCAGTGTCATTTCAGGGGTCTAGATTCCTTGTTCCAAATTCTATGCTTCTGACTGAGTGTTTCTTATTCTCTAAGCCACTCTGAGTCCTTCAGAGATTTTACGGTTCAGTGGTCACAGATCATTCTTTCATTTTGATACTTAAAAAAAATCTACACTTAAATTTCAGCCCTCCCAAATTAGTCAGAGAAAATAGATTGGTTCAGCTTCAGGAAACCAATGTCCAGGAGACTAATTTAAATCCAAGTGTCAGGATTTGAAATTTTGCTGCAGTCAGCAGTTATAAGGCAGTCCTGACAGCAGATGGCAGCTTCGTCCTAAATTCAGCAGCCAGTGCTGGAAGGAACACTGCCATAAAAGCAGCCAGAATCAATAAACTGAACATGTGCCAGTCTCCCAGGTCAACATATCATATTCTGAACTAAAAAGGAAACCCTTTTACTATCACTTCTATCTCTAGGTAATTCAGACTTGTTCATGAAAAATTTCTGAAATCAAAACCTACAGAGCTGTAGAAAACTCGAATTTTCAGTCACTAATTATGTTATGCTGCAGAATACAAAGACTTCAAATTGTAAGCTGAGGTTTTTTTACAGTGAAGCAGTAAATTAGAAATTTAAGGAGATAGTAAGAAAAACAACCATTAATAAGTTAAAAAATCCTCTGTAGCAAGTATGAGCACACCTTACCTCTGTAGATGAATACTAAAGCTCCCCACAAACTTGTTCTGCTATAAATCAAAGCTGAGCAAAAACAGACAGAATTTTTCACAATGAAATTCATAAAAGTATCTATTTTAAATGCCTAATTCAAGCCGTCTTCTGACTTGTTTTAAAATATTTTCACAATGCATTCTACTAAAACTAGGGGGTTTTTTTATCCTACTCTGCCTCCTTTACCCTCTGTCAAGCAATGCTTCAAGTTAGAGTGTCATCAGTATTTTAGTTTTTTCTTAAGGACAAATCAAAACATTGCTTTTTGAAGGTAGTTAACTGGACCTAGAGGTTTATGCTGCTGACTCTCCTAGATGCTTCCCTTTATTTTGCTTCACCAGTGTCTGAGGTTTCATCTCTCTTTGCATCCCTTCTTCCCCAAACTTTTCTGCTTTATAACCTATTTTTCTCTGATTTTCATTTTGTTTCTGTGATTGGACTAAGTTCATCGCTGCATCACAAACAAACCAGTTCCTTCTTACTGGGTGGTAATACATGCATCCAACTCAGTTTCCAGTGCAAGGCTGGAATTCAAAACCAGTTGGATTCATGCACAGTATTTGTGAAGCTACTTTCATGTTTCATGAAAGAAGTATGAAGCAACTCCTTTCATTTTTCTAATACATTGTTTTACTATACTTATAAATTTGTTGTATAAACCTGGGAGGAAGTCAGCTAAGTCCAAATGGTGGACTTGGACTATTATTTTCATTTTCCATTTACACTGAATTTTGTTCTAGTTAGTAATAATGCACTTTGATTTTTGTAACTAAGAGAACTGTTGACATAAATGCATATATTACACTGACCATGAGAAGATGTTTCAAACGTGCATCAAAAACTGTGTCCATAATATTTCCCAATCTTAAAAAGTAATAGCCAAAATAATCACATAGTTAATAATCATCACATAATTAATAAAAAAAGTAGCACAGGTTAGTAGGCCCAAAGAGTGGTGTGAATGGAGTTAAATCCATCTGGTGTTCAGTCACAGGTGGTGTTTCCCAGGGCTCATCCTGGCTTAACACTGATGATCTGGAGTAGGGGATCAAGGACACTCTCAGTTTGACTCCTGAAAGGAGGTTGTAGTGAGGTGGGAGTCAGTTTTTCTTCCAGGTACAAGCAACAGGACAAGAAGAAGCAGCATCAATTTGTGCCAGGGAAGGTTTAGACTGGATATTAGGAAAATTTTCTTAATCAAAAGGGTTGTCAAGCATTGGAACAGGCTGCCCTGAGAAGTGGTTGAAACACCATCCCTGGAGGTTTTTAAAAGAAAAGTAGATGTGGTGCTGAGGGACTTAGTTTAGTGATAGACTTGGCAGTGCTGGATGAATGGTTGAATTCAATGATTTTAATGGCCTATTCCAATCTAAATGATTTTATTACTCTGCATTTGAAAGAATAAAAATAAAATCAATTATTGCGGGAAAGAAAAGTTGAAGTCTTCTTCCACTGTTGGAATAAATTAAATCAAGTTACTTTTGATGTCCTACAAGCATGTCTTATGTTTTGGTGTGTGATGGATTTCACCAATAACATTCTAAATAACATGTTTATATTGCTGTTTTAGAGACACTAAGTCTTACAAGAGAACCTCACCACATGCCAATATACAGAGGAGTTATTAAGGGCCCCACAGCAGCCCGTCTGTTAGTTGCATCCATGAATACTTGCATCACTTATAGGTCTTATTTAATTGGTAATTAAATGCAACACTCAATAACAACTTGATACTATGAAAAGTTCCCACCAGACCTTTAATAATATATCTGAAAAGCAAATTCAATGCAGAAAAAAAGCTTAATAACAGTTCTATGACTAATGAGGCAGAAACATCTGTACAGTTAAGTGCAAAGAATTAATACAGAAAGCATAAGTACCAGATGATGCTGAAATCATCAAACAGAATATGTTTTAGTTCTACTTCTCATCTTTTCTTTCCCCACCAGCTCTGCAACAAACTAGTCCCACTGGGTTACTCCTGACCTCTGCGATTCATGGGTTACTTAAGCTTCCTGGCCTTAAAGTTCAGCAACAACTTGGCATTGGTTAGAGACTTCAGTCAGGGACCAGGCTTGCCATGTCCTTTCCATGTCTGTGACATATACTCTTTTTTTGTTAAATATAATTCAATACATTACTCAATTAAGGTTTATACCTTGATGTCTGAACTATCTCACTGAAAGATCTCTATTTGAACATCACTGCAGCCTTTTGTCACCCTTTGTCCTTTCCTCCATTTCTTTTTTACTATAAATAAAATGTGAAGACAGGAAGAATGATAAAGCAATAAAAAGTAGCCTTGGAACTACTTTAGAAACCACAATGAAACCAAACAGCACATACATACACACATGCATATTCACGCCCACTTGAAAGTAATGAGACTTCACTAACATGAGGATGTGTCAAAATCAACACAGAGCAACAAAACTGAGCTTTGTAATTACTGGTATCGTGTTATAGGTAAATTATCTATATCACAAGATAGGCCAAAGTGTGCCCTTTTAGCTAACTGTGAGTTTAAAGAAGCTTCAGGGAAAGCTTATTAAGTGAATTACAGATGCAAGAACTAGTAAATGTTTCATGGGGCCAGGCATTATTGTCCTGGAAAAGCCTGAGTTAATTATTAATATTAAGTGTGGAGTTACAGCTTCCTAAGTGCTAGGTGTACAGTACCTCAGGCACTTCTGTGTTGCAGAGAGAGGATGAATTACAGCTCTCAGAGGTTGTTGCTAATGAATTGGATTCAAGTGGATTGATCACATCTTTCAGTAACAGGTCAGGAAGGTTTCAGACTGTAAGATCTAGAAACTCATTAAAAAGAAATGTCACATTAATACTGATCATCCAGGACTTCTCCAAGTCTTGAAAAGATTGACTAAAAACATATTTGAAAAGAACTGTTGTCAGGCACAGATCGCTTGAAAACCTGTTCAGCATTAATAATGGGCAAATTACAGTGTTATTTAATATCCAGCTGGCCTCCAGGACAATCAGTCTGGCCTCCAGGACTGCCAGTATGACCACAGTAAGAGAGATAAAATACTGACTAATGGGAGTACAAAGAGTCCATTAAAAGATGAGAATTTTTCACCATCTCATACACACTTCTTATGTATCTTTGGGGTTTCCATGTTTATCAAAATAATCATATTTCCAATTCATCAGTCTTGATGGATAATCTGAGTCCTGTAATAAAATAAATGATGCAAAAAAAATAGTGAAAAATCACCATATTATGTTCTGTCCCTAGCATGTGGCCTTCTATGATGGAGTGACTAAACCTGTGGACAAGGGAAGGGTCACCTGGACTTCTGTAAAGTCTTTGACATGGTCTCCTACAACATCCTTCTCTCTGAATTGTAGAATATGGATTCAATAGGTGGACTGTTAAATGAATAAGGAATTGCTTGGATGGTTACACCCAGAAGGCAGTGGTCAACGGCTCAGAATCCCAACAGACATCAGGGATAAATGATGTCCCTCAGAGGCCCGCACTGGGATTGGTGTTGTTTAGTATCTTCATTAATGATATAGATGAAGGAATCAAATGTACCCTCAGTAAATTTGTAGATGCACCCTCAGTAAATTTGTAGATGACATGAAGTTAGTGGTGCTGTTGACACACCTGAAGGACAGGATACCATCCAGAGGGACCTGAAGAAGCTCAATCCTTCATGAGAATCTCATGAAGTTTAACAAGGCCAAATGCAAGGGGCTGCATCAGGTTTGGAGCAATCAAACAGCCTGGGGGACAAACACGTCAGGAGTAGACCTATTGAAAAGGACTTAGGGGTGCTGGTGGATAAGAGGCTGCACATGACCCAGCAATGTGCACTCACAGCCCAGAAAGCCAACCACGTCCTGGGCTGCATCAACAGCAGCATGGCCAGCAGGGTGAGGGAAGTGATTCTGCCACTCTAATACACTCCAGAGAGACCCCATCTGGAGTGATGCATTCAACTGTGGAGTCCCCAGCACAGGAAGGCCATCAACCTGTTGGAACAAGTCCAAAGGAGTGCCACAAAGCTGATTAGAGGGATGGAGCACCTCTCCCCTAAGGAAAGGCTGAGGAAACACGGTTTGTTCAGCCTGGAAAAGAGAAGGCTTTGGGTTGACCTAAGTGCAGCTTTCCAGTAAAAGAAAGATGGAGAGGGACATTTTACAAGAGGATGTAGTGACAGGACAAGGGGGAATGGTTTCAAACTGAAAGAGAGAAGGTTTAGATTAGATATTAGGAAAAAAAATTCTTTACTATGAGAGTGGTGAGGCACTGGAAGAGGTTGCCCAGAAAAGCTGTGAGTGTTCCAACCCTGGAAATGTTTAAGGCAAGGTTGTATGGAGCTCTGAGCAACCTGGTCTCCAGTGGAAGGCATACCTGCCAATGGCAGGGAGTTGAAACTAGATGATCTTTAATGTCCCTTCCAACACAAACCATTCTGTGATTCTATGTAGGCTTTGTACTGCTCTGATTCTCTTAGGGGGAAAAAAAAAAAAGAAACAAAAAGTTCTCATGTCTTTCTTTATGGTCTGTGTTTACCTGGAAGTCCTTAAAAAAGCCTAAGCTTGACATTTTACTGTCTTTTTATATAAATATACCTTTTACTTTTTTATTTATGTTTCACATGTTTTCACAGTTCACTAACTGGCTAGTGGTAGAACTTTAAAGAGAGACCCCTGTTGGCACATTTCTGGATTCTTGTGCTCAATTCTCTGGTTATATGGTACCATGATAAGCTTTGCTCTTGGATATAAACTACATACTTACTAACAGACTTTGTGATCTTATTGTACAAACTTTTGGCTGTCCAAAGTGTATGAGCATTAATAAGGGGAGAAAGGTTAGTATATCAGAAGCAAATACAGGAGCATAGCATTTAAACTCACCCTTTTCCTTCATATTGGTGCAAAACTCAAACAGAAAAAATGCACACGCAGGGATGAAGTTCCCAAAAGCAGACTCTCAGAGGTAGGTTGAGATAGCTTTCCCTGGATGTTTACCAATTTGCAACAGCTGAAGTTGTGACCCATGAGTTTTATAATTTTGTACCTTCTAATCAAAAAATCTAAACCTAATAGAACCATAGACTGGTCAAGGTTGGCAGAGACCTTTAAGATCATCCAGTCCAACCATTAACCCAGCACTACCACTGTAACCCCCAAACCATTAAGCTGTATTACCCAGTGCCAGATCCACACACCTCTTAAACACCTTTGGGGTGGTGCCTATGCATTCAACAAATGATGGAGACACCCCCGACTCTCCTTTTGCTGTCAAGGTATTTATAGAAACTATTCTAGAATGACTTTGGCCATTCTAATCTTCTCTCTACATGACCTCATGACTTCCTTGCAGTCCTCCCAAGTTATCTGACCCTCCTTCGCGAGATGATAGATTCTTCTTTTTTAAGTTTCTTTTGCCTTCATTCAATTCAACCTTAAGTTCTCCATTTAACCAGTCTAGTCTTTCACCCAACAACTTGACTTCCTACACATGGGGAGAAAGCCAACTCCTGAATATTTGACAAGCCTGGTTCTGAATATTTAAAAATTTCTTTTTAAAGCATATCCAGCTTTCCTGGATGCCTTTTCCTTTCAGGACCGATTCCCAAAGGACTTTGTCAATCAAATCTTTTCAATAGTTTACCTCCCTCTCTAAATCTCAGGTGTGTACGTAACGATTGCTGTTCATTATCATCTGATGGTTCTTCAAGAAATTTTGTGCTGACCTGAATGGGCAGTGACAAGAAGAAATGTGCACAAGTTATCATCTCCCATAGAAAATATAAAACATCAGCACTCACAAACCACGTAAACCAGTGGAAGGAAAATTAATAGATCAAGAAAACTTTCCTGAAGGAGAATATTATTCTTGGAATTGATAAAAACTCTTTTTCTTTCAAAAAGTTAGAGAGATAAATCCTCTTTTCTCCCCCCAGTGATCTTGAGGTAATCATGAAATTTGTCATTTTTATAAGAGATATTAATGAGATATAAATCTTACCAGTGGAAGAATTTACCAACATCAACCTAACCAAAGGAAAAAAAAAAAAAAAAAAAGGAAAGATTTTGCATGGGGTTATAATGGAAATTCCAAAACCAAAAATATATTAGCTTTTCATATTTGATTTCAGCACTACAGGGACGAGAAAGCACTGATCTGTAATACCATTTACCTCTACTTACTGTGAAAACACATCCTGAGAAAGAGAGATTAAAAATGCTTTGAAATAATTTTGTTAGGAGGTCGAAAACTGAAGTAACAATTCAGAAAAGCAGTACAAAATGCAAAGCAGGATAGCAGATATTCATTATGGAAATCAAACCATACTTCAGGACAGACAACTTCTTTTTCATCTTCCATGGCTTGTTTCGTAGTGTGGCAATTAGTTTCTTCTTTTCTTCTACCTCTTCTTTCAGCTTGGCCAGTTCCTCCTCTGTAATTGGCTCCTCCTCAGAGTCAGAACCAGAGCTTCAAACAAAAGCAGGAACAAAAAACATCATCAAAACTCAGATAGAACAGAAGTTTTCACAGAAAAACATACTTCATGTTAATTTTAGTTAACTTTGAGACTAGATAAATGCCTTTACACTTGCGCAGAATGGAGGACACACTTCATTTGGATATGCTAATTATTTAAGTACGAAAGGCGAGGCCTGCACACGAAGTGCAGAGCTGCAGGTGAACCAGCACTACACCTTCAGCATTCCATGTAGAGCAGGCAGAGCTCCTGGAGGAACAATTGTCAGCCACTAATTGTTCCTGCAAGTGTGACCGGCTTCCTAAGAGTTCAACTGAACTCACAGTGGTCAAGTGATGACGCTCTAACTGCAGCCAAAAGATTTTAGGCACTCTCGTTGGGAAAGGAAATGAAGTAGAAGTATATAGACATGGGATACTAGATAAATTATTACAACAATATATCTCATTGTGGTTTTTTCTTTCCTTTTACTCCCACTGTGCTCTCCAGTAATGTCTCTGGGAACAGAAGAAGTTGTAGTAAGTGCTGAATGTGGGATGGGATTTTCTTTTCCTTTCCATTGAGATAACCATGCCTAGCTCCATTTGCTGTGTTATCCACCATTCCCAGGGGTTGCTTCCTTTCAAAAGCACAACAAGGGACAAGGAGCAAAGGAATCCTAGGATGGCAGAAAAATAGAAATGATTTTCTGAAGTGCTCCATGTCAGTGGGATCTTCCAAAGACCCCTGGGTTGCATTAGATGTTTTGAAAAGTTGAACAGTGATATTTAAGAGGAAGTGAGTGAGACAGACTGAAAATCCCATCTCAGTCCTTGGTTCTAGGTTTTTGAAATTTTGGCACCAATCTTTAATAAAAAATCTGGCTTAAACCTGGGTGGGAAAAAAAGAACATGAGAAGCATCAAGATTTAAATTCTAAACTGGAAATAAAACTAGACCCTGGCTTTTTGTTGGGTTATCAGTTTGGAGTTTGGGGGATCTTAGTTTTCTGGAAAGGAAAAAATACGGGAGATCTCACCTGTTATCACCTCTCTCTGCCATTTTCTTCTGTAATTTTCACTCCCTTTCTCTAGAGAACAGCTCATAAAATTTGGATCTTTAACTACAATAAGAGTGTGCCTGACCTGAGTTCCCATTCAGCCAGATCAGATTTGACCTAATCCTCAGAGTATCAGCAGTCCCAGAAGGGTCTGGTTTGTCATTTCCTGGCGTCCCACCACGGACCTGTGACAAAACTCTGACTTATTTCCAGAGAATTAGATATGATTCTGTGAAAAGTGTCCATTTCACTAAGTCAGTGCTTCCTTACTGAAGGAAAAAAAAATATCTATCTGGCCCTAGTTCGGCTGTATCAAATAAGGGAGTCATACTGGCTCTTGGTATTTCACGTCTGTAAATGAAAGCAGGTTTTATGCAAGGTAACCATGGTTTTACTGTAAGAAAAAAAAATTACTGAATTACCCAGATCCTGATTTCTTTTTGTCTTTTTTCTTCTTATTTGCCTTCTCCTTTTTCCCTTTCTTATCAGTCTTTTTGTCCGCTTTCTTCTCTTTTTTGCCTTTCCCACTCTTGCTCCCCTTCCCATCTTCTTCTTCTTCTTCATCTTCTTTGGATTTCTGATTTGCCTCATTCTTCCTGGCTTTTGCAGCTTCCATATCAGAATCGTTGTCCTCATTTCCAGCTGCTCGTCCTCTTCTACGGTTTCTGTGCCTACGATGCCCAGCTCTTCTTGTCCCATCTTCATCATCCTCATTCTCTTCATCACCATGCCTGGCTCTTCCCCTGGCGTGTCCCCTTGCAGTTCTTGGTGTTGCTTTCTTCCTCCCTTTATTTGTGATCAATTTAAAAAATTAAAAACACATGATAGAAGGTAGTATGTTAGAAGGAGAGCTTTCCTACTCTTTCATTCTTACTGACAATCAGAAAACATCTGAGTCTGCCTCAAAATAATCCACATTACTGACCTATTCCTTTGGCATTTTCTTCATTTTCAGCTGCACTGCCTTCTTCATTGTCACCGCTGCCATCTGTGGAGTGAAAACACAGGCCAGTGCACATGAAGTATGGATTGCTCATTAGGAATGCAGAAGTTTCAAGAAGTTCTTGGCAATTACTGCTTTGTACTCCTTTACACCATTTCATGAACCCAAGTTTTTGGAACATGGCAAATAGTTTTCAAGAAATAAGATGGAAAAGAAAAAAATAATTACCCTTTTCTTCAGCACTCAAATATATAAGCCTTAAAGTGATGCCATGAACTCTCTCTCATGGAAGAAATAAGTAGTATAGGAGAATGCTAAAAATATCCTACAATTTGAAGAAGAAAGAGGAGGATGAAAATACTTCTCAGAGAATTCTCAAAGATTTTCTTAAACATGAAAGTAAAAGGACTGGCTGAGATTAAACAAGAAGTATCATTTTCTGATTTGTCTGACTGGAGGGCTTGAAGATTCATAGCAGCAGCATAGCTGAAGAAGGCAGTTCCAGAAGAAAAAGGAGATTTACACTCAGTTCCAGCAACCAAATCTCTAAGCATAGTGACAAAACTTGACCTAGCTCACTTGTATGCTGTACCACAGTCCTACTCTACCACTCATGGGACAATGAAAATCTTGAAGGCTTTAGAGAGATAGGCTGTTTCTGAAGAATGCAGTGTTTTGCCATAGAAACATCTTTGGTTTGGAGTGGATCTCTTGCCTAATTTTTTCAATTTCTCAATAAATTCAATAAGAGATGATGTCTCTGCTGCCCATCAATAAGCAGAAAATTATCCAAACTGAAACCATGCATATATAAGGAATAAATTAAAATACTCGTCTCATTTGTATCATATCCATCACAATATCTAATTGATATCTAATTGATATCTAAATGATGTGCTCTCCAAAAACATTGGTATGAACATATTACTCAACAGGTCATTTTAACTGCTACTAATGTTTCTTAGTGATGTTTCTTCAGAAGCAACACCTGAGAAGTCAGGTGCTAATGGACTCTCTTGAGGTAACTTTGAGTTTGTGCATGTGGGACATCAGCTTAGACACATCTATAGAATTTATAGAAATAGATGGTAGTAGGAAATGAATGAGAAGATTAAGAGGTATTACCATGAAATAGTAGAAATAGGTAGCAGTCATTCCACTCCTATACACTATGCATGTTCCACGTGTATGTAGTCTAATTTCTCCTCTGCACAGAGAGGACAGGTGACATGTAATAATCCCTATAATCACATTTTTCATGCAAGAAGAAGCTACAGATATCTTCCTTTTTCTTTCATCTATAACAGTTCTGAATTCTTCTTTATATTCTTTCTTCAGCTATTCCCTAGTTCCCCAGTTTCTTTCACAAATTTTACTAAGCCACTTTACTAAGTGATTCATTGAAAATTTTTATACAGCTGGATTTATTTAGGGACTGCTGTAGATAATTGTGAAGCACAACTTCTTGGCTTTACTTAATATCGAAGAGAAGCAGTAAAATATGTAAGGCTGCAAACAACAAAGAATCTAGGGAGTTGTTTCACTCTGTGCAGTAACAAGCAAAGATTTATTATCCAGAATTTGACTGGCGTTTTACTACTGCAATATATGTATTTCCTCTGCAAAATATTCAATTGTAATTAACACTTTACATCAGTTCCCCAGCATTTGCACCATAATTTTTAAGATTATGCAAAAATATTATCGTTCAATATCATCAGCGTAGTGTGACAATTAGTGCTCCTTTGTTATGCCTGGACACATACCTTCTGCTGCTGACAGTAACAGGATCACCTTTTGATAAAGATCATTGTGTTGCTATTGAAAGCTTGCAAAGATGAAGACAGACATCCCTGAATAGATACTTCAAATGCAACAGTAGGACACTATCTTTTATTGAAACTAATGGTTTTGCTGATCTCCTACGGCTGAACAGAAGTTCACAGAAAAGCACTTTAATGGTAAAATACTGGCCTCAATGCAGAGTCTGATGAGCTTGTACAACTAGCAAACACGTGGAGGTTTATCATGTATACTGAAACATGCACTAGCAGTGAAGTGTATTAAGCTTTAGTTGACACCATGTTAACAATGTATTCAGGTAAGAGAGAAAGTGACAAGAGACTACACAACACAGAGACTTAAACAAGGTAGAAGATTGTTGCTGGAGTCTGTTTAATTCTAATAGCATAAGGAAAACAAATTTACTACGCTGAATCCAACATTTGAGATAAAGTCCTAAGCTAATTTACAGATTTCAGTCTGCTTGAAGAAAGTATTGAGAACACTACTACAGAGGAGTGTATCTGAATATTAACTTATGTGTGGTTTTGTGGTTTTTTGCATCTAAATGATCAGGCGCTTGAGCGATAAAGAGGAACTTTTAAAGAAATAAAAAAAAAACATGAAATCAAACAGAAATAGACATAGTCACAAAACAAACCTAGAAAACGTGGGCAGTGATTATATGGAATCATGCAGCTAGAAAAATAGGTGCTATAGGAACACCCAGCAAGAACAGATGCAGCTTAAATTGTTTTTCTGCAAAAACTTCAAATTGTATCTCCAAACTGAACTTCATAGAAAGATAAAATGTGTTGTTATGAACATTAGATGTGTGCTCTTCTCCTTCTGGTGTATCTACAGAATAAGACATCTCTTTCAGGTCTTTGGGTATGATGCAGATGCAGAAAGCATTTTACTAGAATTTATTTTTAAAAGGAACTGGAAGCAAGGACTCTCCAATCCTCCGGTATTCTAGCTCTCTATTCCATGAGCTGTGTCACCAGCATAAATTTTTAAGCTCAGGATAGAACTCAAAGTTATTCACTTGTGACAGCTGTGATAGCAGTTGGTGCTGTACATGAGGGAAAAAAATCTCTGAGGAGAGGGGATAGAAGAGCTTTACGACCCCGAGGTCTGTCCTTAACTGTGTATAGGTATGAGTTCATATAAGCTATATCACCACCCCATACAACAGCCACATTGCAGCTGGAAACTTCTATTTCAGACAAAAGGTATTAATAACTGCCTTTTTCTGTCAGTCTGTTTTGCACTTACCAATAAAAGACCTGTTGTTATTTGGTCGGGTATTTTTGCAATAAGAGATAAGAAACATTAGTGTGCTTAATTTTATCATCATTATTAGAAAGCTACTTCAGGTAATAAACTCCTTGATACTTCTCAAAGAGGAAAGGAAGAGGCCAGGCAGCTCATAACTCAGCAATTTAGGTGTTTGTGGAAAACCCCGTCTTACTGAATTACTGGAGAAGCATTTCGACAATACACAAATTACTTTTCTTGGTGACACTATATCTAAATGCAGTGTAGCACTTAATTTAAATACTCTGTTATAAGCCATGCCATAGAGAAACAGTAGAGTGCATTTCTCAGGCACTGTATTAGAACGCTATAGGAAGCCAAATAGCATTTTTGATGCTCTGGCTTGTTAAAGTTAAAACATAGTATTTGATGCAGGAACAAAATCCTCACCATAGGGGAAGTTCATATACTGGTCCTGGGATTTTTTAAACAGATCTTCACATGTTTCCGCTTAGCAGAAGTTTGTTGAATCCTCCAATAAAATTAACTAAGTCTCACAAAAGCACTGTCTAGAATTACTCATTTTTCCAGAAAAGGGTTGATGAGACCTCTTATCTTCACTGTATTAATATTCATAGGGGTAATATCAGCTTTATTAGCCTTTGACTCACCTAATTTTGAGTTTATGTGACTCAGAGCAAAAGCTCAACAGCTACATCTTCCAGGATACATCATCTAGTCCTAATGACAGTATATTTCTATATATCATTAAGTAGATTTGAAGATATACTCCAGAACTCTTTTGCTCTAGGAAATACAAACACTTTCTTTTTTTCCACAGTAGTTTAAGGGAAACTTTCTCATCTTTCTAGATTAAGGGCAATGACAGTGTAATCTGAGTAAGCTATCATTTTACCTGAAGTCTTATTTAGACTATAGCCACAAATGAGCCAACAAGGCTAAAAGAGGGCGTCCTGAATATGGGCTCAGACTAACCTGCATGTCACAGACACAAGGCAGAACATTAGACAGCTCAGGAGAGAGCTCCAAGCGTTAGCGTGTTGGCTGCTGACAAAACTAAGGACAGAAAAAAAAATTCGTAAGACCATAGTCTTTGCTCTGTGAGGTGTCTAGCAGATCATGGGGGCTGGTTTATCCTTGTTTCCCAAGTTGTTTGTACACCTTCTATCAGAGGCTACTACTCAGACTTCATGGTTTGGATCTTTTAAAAACTTATTCTATACTGACATAATTTTCTTGATTTTCACTGTGAGAGGTATAATGATTCTTGAAACTACCTTATATAACGTGACTCACTAATATAATACTCCTGCTCCAATTACTGCTGTGTAAAACCGACTGCTGCTAATCAATTCTGCATTTTGGTAGTATTAAAAAATTCAGCGCTATGCAAAGTAATCTGTTATAAAAAAATGTTGTAGAGTTTTTGTATATGTTATAAAATAAGTTTCTATTTTATTAATTGTTAAGCCAATGAGTTGGATGGTATACCAATAGAGCTGTGCAAGTATTTACTGTGTACTCCTCTGGACTGGACCATGCTGGACATTTTTCAGTGTTGGAAAGACATCAGCCTAGGTACATAACAAACTGGCTGTCCAACATATGGAAATTTCAGCAATCCAAAATTCTATTAGATAATAAATGCATGTTACATACTAGTCAAAAAGAGGAAAGAGTTGCGCAATGTTCAATTCTACATATTTACATACATTTCCATATTTTTCTTTCTGATCATGTAAATATAAGAGTATCTCAGAACACTTTAGGGAGAGTAAATATCACTAGAAGTAACAGCTATGAAACACACCAGAAATAATACATTAAGCTCAGACAAGAAAGTCTGTTGCAAGAGTGAATTAGTGTAGACTTCTATATCCGAGATTTGAAACCTTAACACTAGAGATCTCATCCTCTTAATCACTTTCCATTGACATTGGGAAGAAAACCTTAGCCCACCTCAGGCCCAAAAGAAGGGAACTTGAAACACTGAAATTTCAAATAAACGTTGCCTTTATAGAACAACTATTTCACTCTTACTTGAGATCATGCTTGATTTGTCCTCTCTTTTTCCCACTTAGTGATGCAATTTTTTCTGCCAATGGACATAAGCAAAAATCACAAAACCCCAAAAATTCATCCTGTCCAGCAATAGCTGTGAATTTATAAAGTAAAACAATTCCTACACATAGCAGCTAATATCATGCTTATCTTTCCCACCTGAACTGGCAAGATCTTAAATACTAAAGTAGGCAGAATATTTATACTACAATGTTGTAAAGACACGAGGGTCTTGGAAGACTTTCTAGTCTCAGTGTATATGCTGCGTCCCACAGCCTCATGCACACAAAAAATTTCCAGGAGCTGGCTCAGGGGCAATAAGCTTTCCCTCTCTGCAGACTGCCAGTGAAGAGAATTTGCACAGCTAATTGTAGGACAGTCAAAATTTGAAAATTACAGATGCAGACCACAGGGAGCAAATGGAATCCATTCAATTCACAACCATGAATGTCTCATTTGCTCTCCATTGGTAAGGAAAAATTACTGATTACTGATGTTCTACTAAAATGACAGAGACTGAGCTCACATAGGTCATGTTGACACAATGGCTGACATTGGATACATCATCTGATTACACTCTCCTCTTTTCAGTTTCCTTCTGGACTGTACTTACATATGCCGAGGTTTGAAAACTTTCTCTCAGTTTGTGGGTCAGAACGTCTCCTACACAAATTTTCTCTTCAGGGATGAATAAGTTTATTGCACAATTTCAGTTCAAAAAATTTGGGCCAAATCTGATTGCACTGTTTGTTATAAAACCTACAGAAGGTAGAGGAGGAAGATAATTCACTGCAAAACCCCTCATATTTCACCCCCTTCAGGAAAACATGCATAAAAGTTTAGGGACCTCTATATCTTACACCATCTCTGTGTACACATCTGCATTTCCCTACCTCTGCTCACAAAGATCTAACCATGTAGTGTTTTGCCTTAACCAAGACTAGAGAACTGATGAGCTTGCAGGACCCATTGGCTGCTCTAATTAAACAACAAGGAGACACCACACTTGCATTGTGTCTTCACATTGGATTGTGTGATGGTGGGCAATTTTTCATTCTCGTTGCAATCTTTACTGCAAGAACTAGGATCAGAATATTAAGTGTTCAGTGCACTCCGAGAAGATGGAGACTGCAGTAAATCACACCAATCTGACCTTTTCAGGTTCTAAAACAGAATTTACTTAGCTTTTTGTCATGCATTCACAGTACTGTTAAAATTAGAAGAACACATGATAATATGAAGGAAAGAGTTTATGTTCAAGTAACAAATGTAGTGTTCTTAGTGGATCTGAAGTCAGTTGTATTTTTCACAATCTCATGAGAAGAAAGTTCTTTTAAGGTGCATAACTAGAGCTGGCCAGTTCATCACATATTCTCTTTATAATATTTAGAGAGTAATAGGCACTTTCCAACTGCTCCTTTTTAAACATCCACTCTGAAGACTTTTTACTTTCGTTTGTTTTTCCTGCATGAGATGGCAGGAACAATGAATTCACAGTCATGAATTCAGTGTAATGAACCATACATCTCCCACTATCACAGATTTTGCAGAAGTCATATCATGAAACAAGAAGAATGGCCAAACCAAGAGCGGCTTCACTAGAGAAATCAAAAAAACCCAAAAGTATATGGCTTTAGAATGCATTTTTTGCATATGTTGCAAGAATATTCCTCAGGACTGTCAGCAGTGATGAAGACAAACCTATTGCAAACGAAACCACAGCTAGATTAGCTCATCGGCCCTGTGCTACGTAACTCCAAATGTTGGTACTTCTTAAGTCGGAAGTGGATTGAGGACTACATTCTGAAAGTGCCTCATATTTACTTGTAAGGAAGCTCCAGTTTTTCAGGTGTTCTAAAATCAGAACACAGTCTTGACTTTACTCACATGATCTTATCTCCAAATATTACCCATAACTGTAATTAAGATAATTAAATTTTATTATAAGTTATATATGTAGCGTAAATTTTCATGCAAAAAAGAAAAAAGTGTCGAAGAATGATCATGATTCTGCAATATAAAGATGTCCAACAGTTACAAAGTGGCTCACCATGGGAATGCTATCCTCTGCAATTTGAATGAACAATAAAGTCACTGAATCAGAAGATAAGTCAATTCAGTTAGATATTTGCAAGTAGAAGGCAGATGTTTATGGTAAACTTAGAAGCTCGATATTCTTAGAATTTTCTTATTTTAAATGTTTATAAAAAACGTGCATGTTCTGTCATCATGTTCATATTGTTTCTTACTCAGAAATTCTGTTGAAGCCAGTAAGTAGTTTCTCATGCTGCATTAAATTTTGTGCTTGTCTCATGTTGAAAAGAACGCCATTAGCATGAACTGCTTGAAAATTAAATTCATCAGTAAAGGGTCTTGCAGTAAAAAAACTGAGGGGAGGAAAAATAACAGAGCTCATACAGCACAAGGGAAAAAAATAGGATGCTGCCAAAAATGCTTCTGATGTTTTCTATGGAAGCAGAAAATATTTTATTACTACTGTGTTGCAACTACGGATTAAAAATATAGAAAGCCCTATTTAGTAGTAACAGTCCTGTTACTTATCAAGACCCAATGAATTCATTCAAAAACCAGCCTAGAAAAAGCTCCCTGACAATTTTCCTCCATGCTGAAGATAATAAATGTCATGCTTGTTCCATATGAAAAAAACCTGTATTTTAGAAAAAGTAGTATTGCTCATGAGAACTGAAAGTACTTCCCATATTAAATAGTTGCCTTGTACATTGCCAGAACAAGCTGTCGGGCATTATTTTCCTACGGAAACATTTCTTAGATCCAGAACAGGGTAGTATCAGTATTGAAATATTATTAATCTTACTGTCAAGAATGTTTGACATTTCATAACAAATTTTGAAAGCAATAAGAAAAGGAAGCATTGCTATTGTGCAGCTTACAGAAGCCACAAAATACATCTGTTTTTTTCAGTTTTTTCTGTAAATTACATATAAATTTAAGACAAGTAACAGGGCTGTGGTTGCACTCTTTTGATTTACTAACCAGTGGAAAGCCACCCTTCCATGCTACAACTAGCCAATTTCCACAATAAAACACATTTCTGAGCAAAAGACAGGGAATTACTATTAGCAAGATTTTATACAAAAAAGAAAAAGAAGAAAACACAACTTGCACACTGTTGAACTGCATGCAGAAAATGAATATGTGCTTCAATTGCATAATTATATTTGTAATTACCATTTTCTTCTGTTGAGTTTTCATGTTTAGGCATCGTGACTATTTCACAGGGCTGCTGCAGGTGCTGCCTATTCAGGAGAGTGTCTGAAGGTTGAGTGGTTCAAGACGAAGTGTACCACAGCATCATCCTGCCTGTCAGTGAAAGGATGGCGCTGGTGAAGTTTCACTCACTGAAATATAAGAAGATACTAATTTCCTAAGTGATTAATCTTTCATGATTGTTTAGCTTACTATTTAGGGTTGGCATGTTAGGATCAAAAGAATCAAATATGTCATTCACCTTCTTTATTATGATGCCTTAGAGTTTTTGAACTTTTAATTTTAGTAGATTTTGGAAGTAGTTGTATAGTGAAGGTAGATTTTAATATATCTGTACTTTCACACTATTAGCTGTAGCCTAATGTTTACACATACCCAAGCCAGCTGCCCTATTTCATATCAATTCCTCTAGCATGCTTTTGAGATAGAATAGTGGGAAAAGCATCCTGAGGCCTCTACCAGGAGATATCACACAGGCATAGTGACCCTCAAGCCCAGAACTTGAAGGAACTCCAAAGACTGCATGTGAGGTGAAGAAGATGAAGATGAGGAAGATGGGGTCCCAAACACCCCCAGACTCAATTCCTGAAGGGGTATGCTGGGGGGCAGAATGGGGCAGAACCATGGACAAATTCGGATTAGTTTGACATCATTATAAAATCATTTGACATCATTATAAAATCATAGAACCTGTTTTCAAGGGCATGCGGCAGTTTGTATTCCTGGGGCCTGGAGGCTCATGAAAGCTTCTGCTCTCTTTATCTTATCTCCCATACTAAATTGTCTCGGAGTCTTTTCCCCGTGGTCTTTTAGGCAACAATTATTATTGCTGAAAATAACAAAATTCCCCTGAAATGTACTTACTTATGACCAACATCAATATTTAAATACTTAAGTGCCTTACTGAGCAAGGATGTTGCACAGTGTGCACAAGGGCAGGCTCTTATGCTGTATATGGGTCTCCACTTCCACATGTGGGGGAGGATACAGGGATTATTTTTTTGTCAGGGAAGTCAGTCTATACCTTAGACATATTTAAATTGCACAGCTTTAACAGAACAGCATGACACTGATTTAAAGAATCTTAGCAAAATGAACAGGATGCTGATATATCTGCTGGTTTATGTCCTATTAAGACTCTGCCTTTATCCAGATATTACATCCTAAGTTTATCAGGTTCACCGTGATTGACTTTTTTCTAAGTTAATGGTGAGAGAAAGCAAAAATGTAGTTAACAAGACAGGTGAGGCTTGGAAGTAAAAGATATGAAAGAATATATTACAAATAATAAAATATGTTAGAGATAAAACAACATAAAATGTAATTTTTGATCTGCGTTTAGTTAGATTATTCCTTAATAACTTCCCCATTTGTTGTGGTTTTGCCCAGTCAGCTAGCCCTTGGGGCTGAGAATGGTTTTGTCCAAGTGAATTTCCGGACAAGAAGCCAATTAAAACTCTCAGCAACGCCTTTGCTAATTACATATTTAAGAAAACGGAAGAGAAGGTGCATTGCACAGTTAAAATTAGGGGCAGCAGCCGTGTAGAAGAGGCAGTGGCCTGAGGTGGGCCAGGCCCCCTCCTTCCCCGGCTTGGGCCGGGGGGCAGGTGTAGCACTGAAGCTCCCCCTTCTCTCTTGTAAGAGAGTGAAGAAAAAAAAAGTTTAAAAGGCTAATTGCTTGGACAGAAACCGCAGCAGAAGAATTCCAGCAAAGAGATAACGGAGTGTCTAGCAGCCAGAGGAGAGAGGAGAACCGTGCAAAGGGGATTTGTTTCTCCCTCTTTTGCTCTCTCCCTTCAGCAGGGAAAAGACTGAAAAGTAATCCCTGCCACCTACGGAAGTCTGTGGGGTGAGGAGACCCCCATGCTGCTCGTGGAAGAGCCTACACTGGAATAAGTTGATGCATGAAGAAGCTGAGACTTCATGAGAGACCTGAGGTGAGACAGAGTCCTTTTGAAGACTTTGTGACCCTTGAAGGGGACGATGCTTATGCTGGAGTGAGGACGGCTCAGATAAGGTTGGGATCTCAGTGAGAGATCCATGCTGCTGGTGCTGGAGATTTGTGACCCTGAGAGAACCTCATGCTGGAGCCAGAACGGCTCAGGTGAGATGTTGGGATCTCAGTGAGAGATCCATGCTGTTGGTGTTGGAGATTTGTGACCCTGAGAAAACGGCTCAGGGAAGGATGCTGGGATCCATGCAAGGGATCCATGGTAGACCCATGCCGAGAGGTCTGTCAAGGACTGTTCTCCCATGGGATGGGACCTCCATAGGGAACAAGGGTGGACTTATAAGCCATTATCCCCTGTAACCCCATGGAAGAAGATCCATAGTAGGCAAGTGTCCCCTTGCAAGCCTATGGAAGGAAAAACCTTCAAGGCCTGGGTAACCCCCAAGCCTCCAGTCTTAGCCCAGAAGGCGGGTAGGCCCAGCCCTGGAGGCCAACACAGACCGAGAGAGAAATGAAAGAATTCCAGCTAGGATGAGAGTGCTGCAGAGTTATTGAGGAAACCTGGAGCCCCGAGAATGGAGAATGAGACTGCTTCTCCTCCTTGGACTGATATAAAGGAGGAAGAAGTATTTCTGTAAATACATAGTACTTTTACTTAAGTAGAATTGTTGTAGATATAATTCTTTAGTAGTTTTTATTTTGCTAGTAATAAATGGTCATACTATTTTCCCTAAATTCAGTCTCTTTTGTCTGCATAAACCTTCTCTCAACTAATAATAATTGTGTGAGGAGTGTAAAAGCAAATTGACCCAGGGCAAAACCATGATACCACACTCTTCATCTGAAATTCTTTCAGTGTGACTCAGTTGAAAAAAGTGTAAGCATCTGCAGAATACTCTATATTCTCAAAAGCTCCTGAGTGGTTTCTGAATCCTTTTACCCACATGGTTATGAAAGCATTTTTTTTTTCCCTTTGGAGCTTTTGTTCAGGTGTCTGAAGGAAGTTTATCTGGATGCTAATCCAGTGATGCTGGCTACCTTACCTTTTAATTTTCAAGTTTGGGGTTTTGGGTTGGGGCTTGTTTCATTCTGTTTTGTTTTTGTTGAAATGCATTCCTATTTCTGTTAGAACACTAACATTCTGTGTTCAAAATATTCCCAAAGAAATTAAGCTTACATATACAATTATAAGATTTCCTAGGCAAAGGTTTTCTGAACTAATATTTCCTTTATTGCATTGTCATATTAGTCATTACAAAACATCTAGATCCTGTGCTTTTAGACACTTGGGAAAGACTTCTAATTCAAACAAAGAAATGTAAGAAAACATTCAAATCATCTTTGAATATCTGTAGTTGGAACTATGTTTCAAGTTTCAGAAAAATAACAGTCAGGCTCCAAGGATCCAGTTGGTAGACTTCTGTACTTTAATAACAGAAAAAAAGAACATCCTGGGAAGAATGGTGAGCACGGAATTCAAGTTAATGGTTCTGCAAGCATTTACAAAAAGAAGCAGTCAAAAAATTCTAACAAGGTGTTTTGCAGTTGCAGTCAAATCAGGACCATAAAACTGATGGAACTGTATAAGCCTTCATCAGAATTTAAAATTAATAATACCTCACATCTATTAGCCACATTGGAAAATATTTTATGGATATATGAAAAGGAAAGAGACATATATTGATGGTTGATTTATTAATCTTGCCTGAAAAAGAAAATTACAAAAAAATTATGAAAATCAAGGATGCAAAGGTAGTATTTAAAAAGACACCTAAGTAAAAGAATTAAGGTCATATATGCAGTGTGAATGTGATCTCTGGGTGAATATTTGTTATTATATATATGACATTATAATATATATGACCATTTCATTTGTTGTTCAAGGTGTCCTGACTCAGTCAGTGATCAGATTTAACTAAATACTTTTATCACAGTACAACTTCTTAGTGTAGACAAGTCAGATCCAGTCTGGTTTGTGGTTTATATTTGTGGCTGAAGGAGTTAAGTGTTTCTTTGAGTTCCACTACTTTCTCCCCTCAACAGTGTGCCACTAAAGATGTCCATGGGTCTGCCATGAAGACTATGTCACTAATCAAAGCAAATAATCAGTTTCTTAAGTCAGCTTAGTGCAGTGATCCCATCCACAGCACAGTCCACAAACAATCATATTAACACAGAAGACGTAATCAAACTGTGACGTGATGTGGGAAGGAGCAGTCTGGGTCAGGAGACAGAAAGAGACAAACTTACCACTGGATATAACATAGCAAGGAGATAGGTACTGTATTTCTCTTTACCCTTTGAGTTCAAATAGTATTCAGAGATTGAGAACCAACTGTACAGTTTTCATTCATTTACACAGTTGTCTTTACAGCACACCAGGCTTAAAAGACAAAAAACCCCAAAACAAACTACCAGACAAAAAAAAAAATAATAAAAAAAACCCACACTCTTAAACTAATTTAGCTCTATTTAATAGTCATAAAATCAGAATATATATACATTATTAAAATGGCCTCAGTGTAGATGGGTTTAGAGAACTGGTCTTATTCCTAACTGGGTTTGTTGAATACCGCAAAAGTTTCCATTAGTGGCAAATATGCCATGTTTTTCTTTCTTATATTCCAAGAGCTAAAGCATTCATGGTATGCAAAAGTTGAGGACAGAAATACACAATTACCTCTTTACCACAGCTGAAAACCCATAATGAAGAAGAATTGGAATGTATTGGTCCACATACTATCCACGTACTGAGAAAGTGATAAACCATTTGATAGCTGTCTGCCAAACAGATAAGTCCACCCAGGAAGAATAATAATGACACCAAAGAATGTTGCCATAACTATGTTTGGTACAAACATTAGTGCCTCAGTAAATCTGCTAGCATCAATTTAGCTTGTAGTCAGCTTCTAATTTACAGTGCCACAACCTATGCACAAAGAAAGAACCATTATAATTTCTTTCCTCACACTTCCGCACATCAGCTCTAATCCCTTTCTACAACAACAAAATGCACTGAACGTTGATTTTTCCATGTTTCAAGG